TTATTTACGCTAGGATCTTTTCCATTGGCACTTTCTTTTAGCAAATTCCTATTCCACAAATAACACTTCATTACGTCAGAGTTTGTAGGAAGGACATTTCCTAGCAAATCAGTAGGTAAACCAAAAACTTCACAAAATAATTCTTTACGTGTTTTAGGCATTTTATATTTGAAAAAAAAGTATAAAATCAGTTTGGTCGTCAATGGTAACTGCGAAAAGGAATCTAGCAAAAATTAGAGATGTGCATACAAATGAAATTGAATTGTTTCAGATTTATATATTAGTTTTCATTGTTGCTAAGCATAATCAAGAATTTTAGGAGATGTTGTGTACTGTGTAGTATTTTTGAGCAGAATCGACCATTTTTATACGTTAATAGTCGAGACTTTACTTGTGTTAATAGTGAAAATCTAAAGGAGCCTAGAGGAACCTCAAGACGTATACAAAAGTGGTTTAAATTTTAGTGATTTATTAATTGACCTAAAAGACATCTTTTGACAACACAGGCATTTGAAATTTCGAAAAAAAAATTTTTCACTCCACCCTATTGTATATGCATTCTCATACTACACATACTGCTATGATTAAATTAATAAGTATTGAAATTGAAAGATATGTGTTCCATATATTCATTCTTCAGTTATGCATTCAGTGTTTATAACAATTTTAGATTAAAATTTTTGAAAGTAATTCTTGAAGACTGGTCATTTTGTACAATAGCAATTGAGTAACCAATTTAGTATTACTTTCTCTTTTTTTTATTTGATTAAACAAACTTAATACATTTCCCCTCTATATCTTTTAAATGCCAGGGTAGACAATATTTTAATCTTTTAACATAATTCAAACATCTTACTTCTTTAATCCATTTTCGGCTTAAACGTTCATTCATCCAGGAGTCTACATAACATAATCCTGCAGTGAGTGTACCATTGCTTAATAAATGAACGAAAAAGAATTTTTGTTCAAATTTTAAAAGATGCCTTGGTTGTGTTTAGTCCAAAATAACACTTTAAAATTTTTTGTCGTAGTTTATATTTTTATCAATGTAATTACATGTATCAACAATAAGCTACATTCATTGGCTGTAAGTTAAAATTATTCAAATTTATTTAACATTTTTAGCCATATGTTAGACAAAGTATATTTTTGTTCATTTCATTGCAGTCATGCTTAAATTTCATTGAAAAATATTAAGTGTGTTTATGATGTGAAGTTATATGATGAAAGCCATTACAGAGTTTTGAAAGAAACATTCATTGTTTAGTCTATCATTGAAAAACAAACTGTACCCAAAATCGTTTTTGTTTATAATAAGGATTTGTGTTTATCATAATTTTTATGATAATGTTGTTGGTTGAGATGATGATAATTTAATGGCAGATTCAGTTGATTTGGCAATCAGCTAGCCATGAACTAAATTCCAATTCAATCAGTGAATAAGCATTTTTTGATCTACTGGCTACATCAATCATCTTCATTGATGGAGTAAATTTTATTATGATTGAAGCATTTTATTTCATTTCATCATTTCAGTTTTTAACTGAAGGTACCTTATTTTGTGCATTTTAAAAATGCTGAATGAGTTGTGTCATTAAATTAATTTATACCTAAGAGTGTTTATGATTAGCGTTTGTAAAATATTTCATCTCTAGTATAAAATTTGTTGTCTGGTGATTGCATATTATTAAATATTTCAAGTTTGTACCAAAACACAAAATGTCCTGTGGTCCATGATACATAGCTGCAGTTTTGCACAAAAGCATCGCAGGCATGCCTATATTTATATTAAAACGTTTTTGGTTATTTTCATAGTTGATGTATTAATGTTCCTTTTAATATTACTTTGCTTTCTTTTGTGTGCTTGGCTGTTACTCAAATGTTATGAAAGAGGTGTTGATTATTTACATGAAATTAGAATGTAATTCTGTTTCATTTTTTGCATTCTTTCTACATTTGGATGTTTATATAAATGTTTTACACTTCATGGACCATCTTAATTGTTTGCCATGGTGAGGACTTGATCATAGAAATCTGGGATTTAACGAACATCAATTTTTAATAATAATAATTTTATATGATATTGAATTTTTATATCAAATATTTCAGACATAATATGTAAACTATCAATGCAAACTAAACATTTTGCTCCAAGTAATTCAAATGTCTGTAAACATTTTCTTTGTAAGTACTAGTATCTCTGACATCTGATGCCATTTTAATCTGTGACAATATCATGTTTGCATGCACATAAATGTCCTAAATTTAATATCTCTATTGGTTGTAGTAATGTACAGCTTTCATTTAAAGAGAGAGAGAGAGAGAGAGAGAAAGAGAGAGAGAGAGAGAGAAAGAGAGTATTTGTATGTATTGTTGTATATATTTCTGTTTATGTTTGGACCTTCATGTAAAGAATAATATCTGTATACCGGCTTTAATGATATGATGACCTCCAGATGGCTGTAATTTCACAACAAGACATTCAACATGGGTGCTACTGAATTTGAAGGTCTGACTTTATTTAATTTGGTAATTCGATAATTTGCAAAACCTGGTTAAATATTTTATAGTTGTTTATGGCTCATCATTTATAAATTTTGATGCTGGAATATGGTAAATATTTTAAAGGAATTATATATATATATATATATATCATATATATGTATATAATATATATATATATATATATATATATATATAATATACACAGACACCACGCACACACACCACACACACATACACACACACACAATAAAAAATTAGGTGTTTAAAGCTTCATAAACCTGACACTCAATTGGTTCAAAAGCTGCCTGAGTAATAAACATCAGTGTCTCCTGTGTCATAGGAGTGTCTCACTGGGAGGCATTTAGAGACCCATTATCTCTTATTTGTATTTAAACAACTTTAGTAGATCTTCCAGATTGTTTGATCTTATACTAATTGCAGATAATTGCAATGTTTTTAGAAATGTGCATGTAGTTGAACTTTTTATTGAGGATGTTTGTAACAAACTCTAAGTTGACTATTGCTTTAGCCTTGAAAAAGTGGCTGTAAATGATGATGAACTAGTTCATCAAGCTGTTTGAAATACCTGAGTTATGAAATAATATCTTTTTTTAATTTTCTCATTTAAGTTAGCTTTCTTACTTTAGCTATCCATTTACAAGAGGATGGTGAAAATATAACCAAGAATATTTATAAAACAAATTATAATATTACATTTGTTTTGAAATAACACCATGTATAAAGCATCCATAGGTCACTCTGATTTGTGAGTGTGTGTGTGTTCCTAACTTTGAAATTATTTTGTGTGTTCGGTTCTTTATTTATTATTGTTATTGTTGTTATTATTATTATTATTAATATTGTTATTTATAAACTCATACATCAAGTGCTTATAAGAATATTTTCATTTCAAAGCTTAAAGTCTATCAAACATTTTTCTTTATGTTACAAATGTTTGCATAAATATATATATATATATATATTTGTTTATTTATCTATGATTTTTTTTGTTTCCATTGTAAATTATAATAAGATTAATTGTTCAAAATGTTTCCATCCTTAGGGACTCATAAAAAAAAAACTTCGATTTTAGCGTTTTTTGTTTTTTGCTTCAAGGTGGTAATATTCGTATCAAACAAAAGATGATTTTGATTATATCAGACGTAAATATTTCTAATGTGTTGATGTGTTTAATGTATATTGTGTCTGTTGCTTCTTGGGATTGGGAATAGCAACTTAGTTGTACTGAACATGTTTTGTTAATTAATTAGTCTGATCAAATTGTCTTTGTTAATAGAGATAACGTTGGTAATATTGATTAAAAACAGTAAAGATATTGCTTATATTCCCAATTTCATCAATCATTTGTTTTTTATTTTGAAGTAATGACAGTAACTAATATAAAAAGGTAAAGTTGAAAAATTAACAAACAGTGTTAGACTTGGTAATATTTTATCCATTGTAGTGAGGAACACAGATAAATGTAAAGTGATTTTTAACTTTTTTGTGAAAAAAAATTCTAATTTTTATAGGCAGGCATTAGTAGTTACTGAAAAGCACACAAACGCACGCACACACTTACGCACACACAAATACACACAAACACACACATACAAAATGCAAAATACTAGATAACTTTATATGAATATGGATGTGTTTGTGTTTGTTTGTGTGTGTGACCTGCATATTTTTCCCTAGCAGAGCTGCTAGCAAAAATGTTTGCTTGTTAAATATTGTAACTAACAACATGGAAAACATGGACTTGATTTTGGTCCAGATACTAATGTAAAAAAAATGAAGCTATCCAAAGTCTATGCCCTTAATTGGAGGAAGACTGAATGATTTTATAAAAGATTTAAAAATTTGTTTTATTGTCTTTTTATTCATTGTTTTTCTTCTAACCCAGGTTCATTTATTCATATAATTTAAAAAAAATGTAATCTTCTTTTTTTCCAAAAGTATAAAGCAAATTCAACTTTTTTGTTTTTTTGACAAAAAATAAAAAAGCATAAATACTTTGCAGGATATGAGATAAGAGTATTTTTCTTTTAATCATGTGGAACATAATCTTAATACCAACAAAACAGCACTGATAAGTTTTAATTGACGTAAATGTTTTCTCATCAATTTTTATTACTCCAGCCTTAACAGTGGTAATTTGTTTTTAATTATTCTTTAAGCTTCACTTATGAGCCTTAGCATTATTTTTTGTTGTATTCTACCTATCTCATGTCAATTTTTAATGTTATTTGTCCTTTGTTTTTGTGTTTTTGGTTTTGTAGTTTATGTTGACAATGCATTTCTTCAAACTAAGGGTAAGTATTTCACAAATCCTCTATCATAGGTGTTTTACGAACAGAGAAGGAAGTCAAAGCGTCCTAAGCCATGCTCAGGGAAGCACACCTCTCCATCAGCCTCTCCCTCATCATTCTGTCACAAGAAAGAAAAGCGTGACAAAAATTCAAGTGAAATGTCCGCAGTTAACACGTCAAAATCAATGACATCAGCAGCCACCACGTTGAATAATGATGGCTACGATGATGAGAACCATGATTACATCGTTATGCACGGTGAAAAGTGGGACGACAGGTATGAAGTCGACTCACTCATTGGAAAGGGTTCATTTGGACAGGTTGATCATATATTATTTTTATTATTATTATTATTGTTATTATTATTATTACCACTACTACTAATGCTACTACTACTATAGTTATAAGAAGGCAGGCAGCATAGTGACATAACAAACGTTCAATTGCAATGAGATCTCCCGGGTCTATCACATGCAATGTGTGTGATGCAGTTGAAAATAAAGGATGGGTTAAATGATTCAAATGAACTTTTTTGACCTGAAAGTGCAGAATCAAATTAGTAATATCATGACTATTTGACACATTTATTCTATTTTTATTGGTCATTAAAAAGTTTATCATGCTATTGTTTTTAACAAACTCCCTGAACAAACATATCTCTGTCCTGTACTAGGTATGTTATTATCAATTGAGTTTAACCGTTTGTGACAATTACCTTATTTGGTTATGTTCACTCGTGTTCATGCATTGTTATGATGGTCTTAGTCATTTCTAATGATAATTTTGTTTCATAGGTTGTGAGGGCATATGACACATTATTGAACGAGCAGGTAGCGGTAAAGATTATTAAAAATAAGAAGACCTTCACATCCCAGGCCTATATCGAGATTGAACTGCTGAAGCTGATGAATAATCAGAACTCTGAACTTAAGCGATTGATTGGTCAGTGCCGTTTGAATGTTTATCTTTGTTTGATCTTATGGCATGCTGTAACTCATTATGTCATTATCTATTGTCTTATCATTTTTGTCGTCACTAGATTAGTTGTTCATTGATAATGAATTTATGTTGATAATGAAGTGATGTTTGATGAGTAATATTCATTTGTTTGGTGCATTTATTTGGCGTTAACTGCTTTTTTATAGTTTAATGTTATGATTCTTCATTATGGTCATTTCAATTAAAATTATACATCCAGCTATTCTGCAGTAAAAATATTCATTCATTCAGATACCATAAGTGCATGCATGCATTATAGACATGCAAACATCTGCTGTTGCTTAAGCAGCCTCATACATTTCTAGTAATATGTATAAAATTTTACTTTACAATGTTTAGGCTTGCAGAAATGATAAGTTTTTGGGTTTACTGAACTTTTGTCATTCATTTCTAGTGAATAAATGTTTTTTTTGTTTCTTTTTTGTTCAATGCATGCTCCTTTCCTCACATATTCAGCAAGTTGTAGTCATTTATACTTTTTGCATATATATATATATATATTAATTTTTTATAAACCTACTTTATTTCCTAAGTTTTACGTTTTTTTTTATATTTCAACACTAATTTCTTTAAAAAATATTTTCCATTAGTTCTTTAAAATTATGAATTTTTTATCTAAGCATTTGAAATTCATTCATTCTTTTTATCCATTATTATATCATGTTTCTATCAAGGACTGCTCAATTATTTAGGCAAACTGAGTGCGGAAATGTATCTAAACTTTGATAATTATTTTGTTTACCTTGCCTGCTGCCTGCTATTGCAGGTGCTTATTTCCTAGTTCATTGTGCATTCATGCAAATTTGAATGTGATTGATATGTATGCCCATAAACATAAGTGTTGCAGTTCTATATATTCCTTTGGAATGTTGGAATGCAGTATTGAGTTTCTTCATAAATTATTGTTTTTGCAACAAAAATAATGTAGTCTGAAGTAATGTTTTCTAATGTAATTCTCTAATTTTTATTGGCGAATGCCCTGCTATGTTATTAACAACTTTATGTGGTCCAAAATAATGTTTTTCTGGACTTGAAAAGTTTAGATAATGAGCATCATCATTATGACAAAACTATCATTAATTTAATGTTTAGCCATGAATGAAATGATACATGGTAAGAAACATGATGTTCTGACTGTAACCTAAAGTAGACATTTCACTTTTGAAGGCGTTAAATGCATTTAAAATTGACCGATGTTTTATTTAATTAATTAATTTCAAATATTATATAGTGATACTAAGCTATCTTTTCATCTTCATGTGTAATGAACATACCTTTATTTTTTAGTTAACATTATAAATGAAAATTTTGATCACATGCAGTTAAGCTGAAGCGAAATTTTATCTGGAAACAACATTTATGCTTGGTGTTCGAATTGCTCTCATTCAACTTGTATGATCTACTGCGCAATACTAATTTCATGGGTGTCTCCATCAACCTGACCAGCAAATTTATCTATCAGCTCTGCCATGCCCTCTCCTTCCTGTCACAACCACAAGTATCCATCATACACTGCGATCTTAAGCCAGAGAATGTTCTACTCTGCAATCCAAAGAGGAGTGCTGTAAAAGTTGTTGATTTTGGCAGTTCTTGCCAAGTTGGTAAAATGGTTAGTATTTATTTCGTATGTTTATTTTTATAGCAACCTGATTATCATTTTTTTTAGTTAGCACGTTTTTTTAGATTTTTTTAGATTTCGATCAAATATTAAATTTGCTCCTTCAGTTTAAATTCTCAAATTCGATTATAAAAATTGTTTTTCAAGGAGTTAATTGCAGTAATGAGCAAATATTGCTTAACAAAAAAAACCCTGTGTAGATAAAACCACAGCTGGTAAAGCTGCTTATTTTTATCTAGCAGCAGATTGTACATTGTTTGTACACAGATAGATTCAGTTTGTTAAGAACGATGCATTCAACATTTCACCATGCAGATTTATCAGTACATACAGAGTAGGTTCTACAGATCTCCTGAAGTACTTTTGGGCCTACCTTATGATACTTCTATTGACATGTGGAGTCTGGGATGTATCATGGTTGAACTGCACACGGGCAAACCTCTCTTTGCTGGATCCAATGAGGTCTGCTGAATTGTAACACATTTGAAATCTCTCTGTATGACTTGTTATTAGAAATTTATATACTGATTTGTAAAATTTTCTGCAACATATTTTTTGAAAAAATAATTAAACAATGGTTTCACTGTATTTTAAATGACCAGTTTGATCAACTGATGAAGATAATTGAGGTTTTGGGTCTACCTCCAACCCAAATGCTTGATTCAGCTTCAAAGACAAAAAAGTTTTTTGATGTATTGCCATATGGCAAAACCGGTATTATTTATGTGCCTAAGAAATCAAAAGACGGACTACAGGTAAATTTTTAAAATGATTACTTCACTCCAGATTTATTATGATTATCATTTATATGCAAGCTGATTGGTTATTTTAAATTTCATTGAACATTGTTTGTTATCTCTATTGTTATCCTTATTTATTGTCAACAGTACCAATCACCTGGCCAGCTACTTCTCTCAGAAATATTAGGAGTGTTCACGGGTGGACCAGAGGGAAGAAGGCAAGGAGAACTCGGCCACAGCGTTGAAGACTACCTTCACTTTCTTGACTTAGTTTTGAAAATGTTGCAACTCAATCCAAAGAACAGAATCAAACCCGACGAGGCTCTGCAGCATCAGTTTTTCAAACGTTACAGTAGCTGCAGCAGTTTTTTTAGTGGTGGTACTTGTAGTAGTATTAGCAGTATTTTCAATGGTGGTCATGATACTGACTCAGCTGGATGCAACTTATCTTCACTGTTTTCTGGTAGTGATAAAAAGTCTTCAACTGTTGTAAGACAAATAGCAGAGATGAGTTGTGAAGGAGACAATCTCAGTAGCAGCAAAGCTAATGAACTTTCTACCAAGAAGCATGTTTGCACTGATGGCCAGTCGAAAAATCTCACAGCTGTCGGCGATTACGCTGGCATTGTTGAAGAAAAAAATTTTCCACAAAAAATTTGTTTTGATCAGCATAACTCTTCCACATTAAGCTTACAAAACAATACATCCTACTTAGAAAACACTAAAATTCCAAAAACAACTTCTGGCGACCATATAAACATTTTCAACACATCAACAAGCGTTTCTGATTTTTCTAAAAATTCATCAACATCATTGCATTTGTTAAATTCTTCGCTGCCTTTATCACTCTCCGATAAAATGCTACCTCAAAATGACTTTTGTTTGCCACCGTCATTTATACCACCTTCGTTAACAATTTTGCCGTCAATGTCATCGTCGTCATCACCTCCATCTTTGTCTTCGCCATCACCATCTTTGTTATCCCCTCCCATACATGTCGATACTCAGATGACATCAGTCATTCCACTGAACTTGTTGAATTTGAATTTTCTATTAAAATATCTACCTCAGCAACTAGAACAACCTCTACAGCAGCAACAACATCATCAGCAACAACAACATCAGCTACAACAACAGCAACAACATCAACTACGGCAACAATACCAACAGCATCTTCAACAACGACACCAGCAACGTCAACAGAATCAGCAAAAGCAGATTCAGGAACAGCAGATTATTTTTCAAGAGCAGCAAATATCATTAGAAAAATATGAATATCAGTTACAAGAAATTCATCACCAACATAGTCTTAATAAATCAGACAAAAATATGCTTCATTCAAAACCCACCAAATGTGTTAGGACGAATGACAGAAAATCTAAGCTTACCAAGTCGCAACAACATCTAAATAAGTTAAGTTTGAAACAGCAACAACTGCAGCTGGAACCTATCTTATTGATATCACAGGTTAATCAAAACTGCACTGAGACTTCTATCAACCTAAATCATCAATATAATACAAACAACAACGTTTTCCTAGTGTCCGCAAAGCCAAACAGTTCGTCACCGCTCAATCGCAATGTAAATAACAATTATGTAACTATTGATGAGAGATGTTTGAGCATTTCATCTGCAAATTGCAATATTATTACCAATAACAATTTCAACAACAAACAAGAACAGACAAAACCAAACGTAAACAGAAATCTTAACTGTGAACTCAAAAGTTTCAAATTATTTCCTGATCTTCATCGCCTACAAAAGCAGAATCTTTCAAATTCTTTAAATAATTGTAGTGATGACAGCAGCCAAGCTTTAAATTCATCTAAAAATTGCAATTCGTTTGAATCTATGACAACGATGTGCACAGCAGAAAGTTTAATTTCTCAACGACAGATACAACTTTTGCAACAAAAACAATTAAATCCTTTATTATTGGATAATTTTGTTTTGTCCAACTGTGGAGCTGCAGATTCCATTATAACATCTATGCAACCCCAGTACCAGCAGGTATCTAATTTAAATGATACGAGTGAAATTATGTCTCAAAAAATTGAACATGGTAGTTCCTCCATGATTGAACAACAAAAGCCACTTAAATATATTGCGCAACAAACAGTTATACCAAACACTGCTTATGTTTGGTTGCCAAATGCTGTAAATGTCGGTAACTCTTTACTACTTTATCTACCTCAAAGTTTACAACAACAACCACAACACCAATAGCATCTGATATGTCGAAATTAATTTATCATTTCATTATTTGTGGACAGAAACCGTGGGGTCTCTTTCAATTGATTTTCTTTTAAATTTTCAAGACATTTCTTTTATCTCCCGCATCTCACTCCACTCATTGTTTGGTCTAGGTAACATTAGCTTCAGTATCTTGCCATTCGTTATATAATTTGATAGGAGTTTAAACATTTCTTTACTCCAATCTTGTTCCTTTTTGTCTTATCTTTTACTCTCTAGCTCTCTGCATTTCATCAGACCTGCGGTTTCATGTATCCATCTTTCAATGTGCTGTCCTGCTTATATCCATCATCAAGCGAACATTTATCTTATTTATTATCACTTGTTTTGTTTATTACAAAAATTTTATTTATAATTAATTGCATTCAACTGAATGTTTTTCTTTATAGTGCAAATGAGTATATTAATTTATTGATTTATTTTTGTTAGTTGATTATTGATAATATCTGACCGTTGCATAATTATTTATTACGTTGGTTTATCACTGCTGCTTAAAACTAAAAAAAAAATGTTTGCATGATTTGTATATTCGATCAGAACAAACTCATCAATATTAAACACTACTAACTCATTTATGTCCAAGTGAATTATTATTAATGTGAACATTTATATAATTGTTAATCTCATGTACAAGTCAATCTATAGAATGTATCGGTTGCCTTTCAGCACAAGTTACAAACTAATCACATTCTATCGAATTTCGCCATCACTAACCTATGTAGCACTTAAAATGACATAATTTAAATTTTACAAATTTTTAGTTAATTTAACTTTTAGTCAAGCACAAGCACTCTCAAGACCTCAAGAAGGTGCAAATAAAGCGTATAACAAGCAATTTGTACTGCTTATATATATAGCCACACACTTATTAAGCAGAAGTATCCATACAAACATTCAGTTCTCTATTACGTTTATGGATCATATTTATCATATCACAATCTTACGTTCTGCAATGCAATAAACGTCTAGACATCTCTACCTCAATTATTTCTATTTGGTACGGATCTTCAGATCAGACAGCGGCAAGATTTTGTATGTACGTTAAGGTCACTGTGCACGTTTTATGACGTTACACATAGGCGTACACACGGTGGAGTTGCCGATTCCAATGTGACATGTGTATATGTATTTTTGTAAGCCTGTATGTGGGTTTGTGTGCAAGTATTGTTTGATATCAATAAGTATATTTGCGTTTTAAACGTTTTTAAATTAACTTCTCTAAATCTTCGTCTATTTGCTCTTTTGGTTTTCTTTATTTAATACATTTCTAAATTCTTTTTTGAAATATTTTATAGGATACTATTAAGCGAAATATTTCATAGCGAAATGTTATTACATTTCTTGAAACTTGATTGTAAAAATTGTATTAAATAAGTAGAAAACTTAAAAGTGACATAAATTCAGTGAAGAAATTCATTGAGGTATGTCTTTACTTTATATCATGTTTGATTGTTCAGCACATCCAAAATAACAAAGGAAATATGTTATGGAAATATGGATCATTATGAATGGCGACATCTTAAATAAGTGTGAGTGCGTGTTTGTATAGTACTGAATTTGCGCACAAATTTAGTCGTTCCGGTCTGTCATCATCGACATAGATAAAATTTTGTTGGGAACAGGTTGGACTTATTACCTCCCATTGTTTTATAAAGTTGTTAGTTTTTGTCGATTGTTGTTGGTTGTGTGTCGTCTGTGTTGATGGATCATTGTTGGTGTGTTGATGGTGACTCCTCTTACTCACACAATGTCCTTTTCATATTGTTCGCCTGTGAATGGATGTGGTTTTTTTCTTAGAAGTTTTTTAAATAATATTTAATTAGACAATTAACTAGGAATTTATATTAAATTACAGATAATTCATTTTATCACTTTTAACATTTTTGTTAAACGCCGCAGGGAAAGTTCATTTGTTAAATTTTCAAGCTAATATGTTTGGTGTAATAGTTTTTTTTTCATTTTCTTAATGCAGAGTTAGATACATAAATTGTATTTTTGTGTACTCTGATCATGATTCAAAAGTAATTGGATGAGAGAGAGAGGAGAGAGAGAGAAGATAAATTGGTCAATTGGTTAACTATTCTCACCAACGTATAAATAAATTTATGTGAAGCAGTCTTAAGGGTAAAGTTTTAAAATAAAATGATTGCATGATGTTAAGAAGGTTCAGATGCTATTGCCCAAGGAGCTTTATATAGAAGCGCGATGGTTGCTACTAGATTATAATAGCAAACATTAAAATTTAATAATAACTAAAAAATTTTTTTAAATTTTGATTGTTTTGGGATGTGGAAGATGTTTGTTCTTATTCTTCGTGTTAAAATTTTAATCTGACAAACGTTTTATCTAATAGAGGCGTTTGTGTGTTTTTACAATTGCTATAATCAATAAATTTATAATTGTTAACGTCAACATTTTTTTAAACGAGAGATTGAGATTAGATTTTTAACCATTTGATGGCTGTACTGTGTGACAATAGTTTAATTTCCAGATAATCAATTATTTTGCAGCCACTTTTTGAATGATTTTAATATTTAAATTTATATTTTTGAATTCTAACATAGGTGTCTATTGCATATTCTGATTAATTAATGTTACGACGTTGCTTTAATCATGTTCTAATAACTAAGCTGGTGCCTGTTTAAGGTTCTTTTTTGATGGTCAAATAACATTTTATCGCTTGCGTCTACAGGTTTATTCCGTTTTTTTATAGAATTTGGTATTTTACGTTTCTAATGATATATTCTCTTTGACTGTCCATTGTAAATATGGATTGATAAATTGATGAACTAAAAGATATTGGTATCCGGATTTTCTTTTGTTGAAGTTTAATTAGATTTTTTGTGTTTTGCTTTTTTTCTGTGTTTTTTTTGTAGTTTTGTTAAATGAATGTCGTTTGAAATTAGCGTGGATAATGTAATTAATCTTTTGTTCATGTAGTAAAGGTTCTTATTCACACGTTGACAGGGTTTCTTATAAAATGCTATAAAGTTGTAACATTGGATTAAAAAAAATAAAAAGTTGATGGTTTTATTTTATATCTTGTTAATTGAGACATTGTCAAGATTTTAAAGATTTATTAAAATGATTTTGTTGTTTTATATTTTCGTTATCATTTGTTTTACTCATACAATGAGGTCGTCAATTAAAGGAAACAATTATTTACCTGTAGTGCCTGCAATATCTGTAATTAAAGTTAAATAAAGTATACGACTAATAATTTTTATTAAAAATTTTTCAAAGGCAGTAACAGCTATAGTATTAACCTTTCTGTAATATGCTGTTGTTAATATTATTGTTGTTTTAGATAAATGTTAATGACTGAAATGTATTAATTAATAAATTAATTAATCAATAATTATGTTTGTTATTAATTTTTACGAAATACTTCGGTGATTGAAATTAACGTACAATTATGTAAATAAAATATATTCTCTCTTTCATAACATAAGCGTAATGCAATTTACCATATATATTAATTATAAAATTAATTAATTAGTTTATTAATTAATTTTATATGGTATTTAATTTACGTTTCAATGTTTATGGTGTTTGTTGTCCTCTTGTTTTTTATTATTCTGTATTTGTGTTTTAATAACAGTAACTAGCGAATCTTGATTATATATTATATATATATATATATATATATTCATTTTTTTTATAATTTATCGATTTAAATTAAAACTTTTACCATTAAATATAACGATTTTTAAACGTTTATATAAGGTTTCGAACGCTTAGTTACGCCGATATAAATTTAAGCTGATGAAATGATTTTTGAAATCACGTGTAGAGCATTGATTACAATGAAATTATTTGTCTGAGGTTTAATGCTGGTGCAGGTTTTTTTAGTTAAAATATATTTCCAAATGAAATAAATAGTAATTAAGTTTCTCAACTAGGCATTATAGTTGACGAATATAAATCACAGACGGTATATTTATAACGTGACCATTGAATATTTTGTTCAATGAGAAGTCTTGAGACACTTGTTTTATTTTAGTAGCCAGAAATTTGCTCTTGAGGGACTAAATTGAAATTAGCTGACGATCGATCTTTTTTTTTGCTTATCCCACAATTTTTAACAGATTTTACTATTAAAATCAGTGCTTTTGTACCCCATTTTACTTAACTTTATAGTCCAAATTTATATATATTATTTCATTCAATTTTGTCATATTCCTGGCAAAAATTCCCATTGTTAGGGGCTTCAGACCCAAAGCCCCCACCTTGCCTACACCCCTGTGTCAAAAAAATCTCCTTCAACAACAAAAGTGATCAAGTCGATGCACTAAAGTTTAAATTTAAAACTTATGATGTGCTGTGAGTTTTCCAGACAAAAGGTTTCCAGACAAAATTGTAACTTTGATTTCGTCAACCAAAATTTCACCAGTTTCAAGAGCAGAATGTTTGTACCTTGTACTCACCTGAAGGCAGATCACAGGTGCACACGAACTTGCACGTCCGTGTTCATTTTTGTAACTCGAACGATTAATTAATTTGAATATTGATAAGGAACAAATTTTCCCGTCTTAGTTATAATTGTTGTTGATTCGTTGATTGATCCATTTATATATATATATATATAAATCAACATATTTCCGTGTAGAACACTGCAACAGTATTACGCAATGCATATCTTGTAAAAACACACACAAACCCATATGTATATATATATTTGTATTTAATTTTTGAATTAACATTGAAAATGAATTAACGAAATTTGTCGTTGCTTCACAATAAAAAGAGGAATGGATCTTTTTATTTTATTTGAAAAATAAAAAAAACAAAAGAACATTAAATAAATAGGCATGTCAATTCACAAAATGGGTTCATTAACACCCGGTAAAATTTTTATCATTATTAGTAAGTTTCGAAATTATTGTAGAAAATGTATCTTGATTACAATTATAGGTTTTTTCCGAGATTTATTTATGAGCTGAAATATTAAAATTACCATTTATATAATTTTGTGGAATAGTATAAATTATTAAATTTACATTCGGTAATCAAAAATGGCTTGGCAATAGAGTGATTAAGGTCTTTTTATGCTGTCTAACCTTTCAGTTGCTGAAGAATTATCCTTCATATTGTTAAGTATCTCATTGGTCAGCATCTGGACAAACGCAGCAAATGGCCCTACAATTAATGAAATTCTAAATCATGTTTGACCTCACTTGGTGAAAGTATGACATACACATGCAAGAATCAATAAACTAACGTGTTTTAATAATTCATAAACAAAATGCAATGTATGATATGAATAGACTAACCCTTGTATGTATCAATTACATTCTTTAACATTGGGTAACTGTTAGAGATGAAGTCACATATAGATAGAACAATCCTTGAAGTAGCTACTGCAATTGACGTTCTGAAGGCTTTTTTGACAGCAGAACTACTACATTTACGAGTATGTTTGTATTTTGAACATACATCATAACACAATTCGCCTAATCCATAGGCATACTGAAGGCTGGAATTGTTGGCTGAGCAGTTATTTTTGCTTGAATCAATATTGTTTTGACGGCAGATGGTTTTTGTAAAAACCTGACTCTTTCTTTTATCTGGATCATCATCACAATTTATAACATCTTCTTTTGTGACAGTTTTGTCATTGAAGGTGAACTCGTTTTGTGCTTCATTTTTATTTTGAAAGTTTTCATTTTTGTGTGATGAAGAAAAGAAAAAAATTCTGGGTTTATTTGCAAGTGATTCACCATTTGTGAGGAAACTTTTTTTGTTGTCTTTTTCTTTTCTTTCTTCACTATGTTTACTGTTGTCATGTTTAAACTTGGAATAATTGAAATAATCTGATTTTTGACAGCCTGTACAGACAACCTCTTTCAACTTACCATCATCATTTAGTATTGGTAAGCCTTCTTGGCTATCACAATGTTTACAAATGATTGGTGTATAGTAACATTCATCCGGATTGTTGATTGGTGTATAGTAACATTCATCTGGATCGTTGATGGAATTGTTGTTTTTGTCATGTGGTGAAGATGCACTAATTGAAAAACAATTATTTAGCTTCTTTAAGTTCAAATCTTCTTCTAACTCAGTCAACTTTAAATTAGCAAGACCGGAAGTGTTTTTCATTTCTGTAGTGTTGAAATCTAAAACAACAACTTTGCAATCTTCACATGTTACTATACCCTCTTGCATCATCAAATGGTTAGGGTCATTATTTCCACACTTTGCACATTTTTCCAAGCACAGAGATAATTTACAAGTTTCAATAATACTTGAAATATCAGTAGAATCATCAAAGCCATAACACTCATCACATACCTTACAATAAAATATTTTGGGATTTCCAGATGCTAATTCAACAGTATGACTGGAATCTTTAATACATTTATCAAGATGAAAACTGTTGATTATCATATTTAATATTTTAGAAGATTCTTCAGAGGATAGATGGGGACTATTGTGGCTGTCAGTCATTTTTCTAAAAAAAATGTATTGTTTTTTTTATCCTTAAGAATTACGTGTTACACTTGGTTTGGTTTTATTAATTTTTTAAAAAATTTTTAACAAATGTAAAAACTAAAAATAAAAGTTAAATTAAATTTAAATACAACTATGAAATTAATTTAATTTCTGTGTTATATTTTATTTTTTCGTTTATTCAATTAAGAATTAAACTAAGTTAAAACTTAAGTTAATTAATTTAATTTTTTAATAGTTTTTAAAGTTTAAACTGAAGGTTAAAAAAGCAAAAACCAGATAAAAAGTAACCTGAGGATGGCCAAGCTATTAAATAAATAAATACAGGAATTTTAAATATTCCTCTTGGACATGAAATTACATTACTTACTGCAAACACTGCCAACCAACATTGCAGCAATTCAGTAATTTATGAAATCTACAGCACCTGGATGCTTATTAAGCATTAACACATATATAATTACTGCATTAATTATGGTCTTTTACTAACACACACATACACACATATATATATATTTATATATATATATATATGAAACCGAATTATTGAGAAATTTCCTATATATGCGAAACCGAATTATTGAAAAATTCCCACAAATATATATAGAACAAAATGAGTGGTTGCCAAAAGACGAACCAAAGACAACAGATTTTGAGTTAAGTAGCATTAAAAAATCTATATTTAATTCTAAATATATATATATATATCTAATTAATATATTTAGAATCTTAAGAATAATATAACCTAAATGTAATTTAATTAAAAAATCTTTTTTTAATTCAAACCATCAAGGTTTTTGTCATAATTCATATTTATAAACTATTCAAGTCAATTCAAACCATCTCGTCACATGTGCTATATCACGCATGTGTGTTTGTGTGTGTGCTTGTTTCTGTGTATGCCTGCGTAATTGTGTGTGTGTGTGTTGTACAGATTATATTTTTTCCCCAAGGCTCTATTAACCGGATGCATTTAAATGCATCGCTGGCTAACAAAAAACTGTCTAATCGAACAAAAATTCACTTAAACCATGAATGTAGTTTAGTAATGTTTGGTAAAAGGTTAACCAAAGACAACACTATTGAATTTAGTTGCATGAAAATATCTAATGAATATATTTAGAATCCTAAGAAAAATGTAACATAAATGTACATATGATTAAAAATATCTTCATTGATTGAACACAACAAACTATATTTCATGAATTGAATAGCTTAACCATTAACTACTGCGTTTGTAGCACCAAGAAACCATATTAAACATAGTATGATATGATGATTATACGTGCAACAACCTGTTAAACGTTTTAATTAACTTTCGACGCCATATTTTTCGAAGTTTCTCGTGATGATACTTAATTCCAAGTGAATGACGCCCATGGCTTGAGTTTTAAGCTTAAATCTGTCACTGCCATCATATATCAAATCGGGATTTTTAAGTTGAGGTCCTCCACCAAGGAATGCAGAACTTATTTGCTCCCAGTAAGTGCCCACAGGTCGCCAAGTTGTGCATTCAATCTGGTGTATGCCTGGAGAAGTGGGAATATGGCAATAACCATAACCGTACAATTCATTTCTGCCTATTGAATCTCTATACCATACCTGGAAGTGAATCTTTGGCCAGCCTTGTCGATAAACAATTTCAACAACAAGTTGAACGTTTTATGATTAAGTTGCAAAATGATTACAACAAAATAAACAGAAAAATTGTAAAAAGACTAATAAGTGAAACCTTGCAACCCTTTTGTAGCAAAATGAATATCTATAGGATGAGCCCAACAGGACATGTCGTCTAATTCTGGATTATCGATCTGAGTTTGGCCTTCTTTCAAACCACTGAGAATTTTCCATGCACCACCTACAATTAGTAGAATTGATTTCCATTTTAAGAAAACAAGCATTTCTATCTAAGCTATCTAATATTTCCAATGCACTCTATTAATTTAATGAAATAATACGTTATAAAATATCATTATAAGTTTTAAATTAACCAAATTTAAATTTGTTAAATACTAGCACATTGAATTACACGCAGAAATTGATCTGAAACCGATTTCATCGTTATATTAGAGCTATTAGCTAACCAACCACCCATACTTAACCACTAGGATATTCGGACCAAATTTAATAAAGATATAGTGATCATTAAACCAAATTTTAATGCATGACATCATTGCTGCTGTTGTTTTCAATGAAGTTTATAATGGGAAGACGACAATGAGGCAAGGGTAATATCTTCATACATTGATATTTGAAGCAGCCATCTTCACCACAAAGGCTGTTAATCCTTTTCACACGATGTACACATGCATTTATGTGCACGCGCAAGCACCCCATCATATACGCTGAGTATATGATAGCCATTGAGATGTTTGACTCAGCGCGCGTTTGAATCACTGAGCCATCTCGCCGGCCAGCATGCGACAACTTACGTCGTCTTCCCATTTCATTTACCGACCGGAAGGATGGACGGCTGGGTAATATACATATACAGTTTTACAATTTATTCTCGAGTGGACTCATATATTCATATTTTCCCTAGTCTAACTGTTAGAATATTGTTGGACTTTAACAATACACCAATAATGGCAAATAGGAAATTGGTGACCTGCATGAATTCCCCATTTACAGAAGAGAGAGTTATTCGGGAAACCATTAGCACCGATAATTTGACCTATGACGTGAAGCTCTGACATTATTATTTCTTAAATTAAAATTACTGTAATAAAAATGTAATATAGGATGTCTCTATTTTAAATGAACATTTTTCTAAAGTTGTACAAAAAACATGTCAAACACCCGTAGCAACCAAAACTAAATAATTACATGACAACAGAGGGGCGAATGAATCAATGATCATTGAATTCATCTGACTTTTTGTAAATTATTCAGAATTATAAATTATTTAAAAATTATTATAAATATTTATAAAAGTTTAAAAATTAAAATTTATTCTTGAGTTAAAGTCTGCAGACAATGGTATATTTAAAAAAAATTTATTTTTAAATATAATACACTTAAATTAACTTTTTGTATATACACATTTGCTTTGTATAAACGTTATTTGTCATTAAAATTAAATCCTATGAGTGATGGATGAGAATAAACTTTAAACTATGAAGAGCTTAAATTATTTTAATACAGGTAAAATTCCTCAACCGCAGCTACCTGGGTACATTTTTTCGGAGAAGTTAGGTTCTGGTTCATACGCAGTTGTTTATAAAGCCTGTCCAAAGGTTTGTTATAGATAGTCAGTGTATTCTGTATTGTATTGTATAGATAGTGTATGTATAGTCATTCTTTAATTTTTAGTATAATTAATAATTTTGCAAAATTTTCTTGCAGGAATTGAACTTTACTATAGTATAGTAACTATACTATACTCATATATATATATATATATATATATATATATATATATATCCATGAGTATACTACTATAGTATAGTATCAGTCAGAACTCAGAAGAGGAGTGTGAGAATCGTTTGTATCTTTATAAAAATGAGTGGCACAATAACTGAAACTAGCCATATTATCCCTAACATTAATTAAGCCTCCTTAACTGTGCATTGTGTTAAGGAGGCTTAATTTAAAATGATTACACGCCATTACAGATTACACAATTACTTACAAATTTGGTTTTATTTAACAGTGTCATCAGAAGCTTGTCAGCCAACAACAAAATTTCAAAAGGTCATCATTGTTTCAATGCACAAGAGGATACAGTCTCCATACATACATTACAACAAGCTATGCTAGAACAATTTTTAAACTAAGGGCACTACATTTTTTTTATCTAATTCCAATTCTGCCTCATAAACACTTTGCTCATGTTTGCATTATATGATGTGATGTGACGAGGCTTGGTTGTTGAATCAAAATAGATTTTTTTTTTAAGCTGTGACTTTCTTTTTGATGTCAGTAGTGGTTTGATAGGTTGAGAATGGTTTATCATGCTCATTACAAAGTTCTTATTTTGCTATGCAGATTTAATTCAGTTCTTCATACCAAGAACCAAGACAGTACAGATGGTTTTAATATGATTTCTCAAAACAAATTATTTTTTTAAACATCCTCGCAGAATCAGAGAGTTAGTGTTCCAGCAGGGAGCAGTATAAAATTTTAACTGTTAAAAAACGCAATAGTAGCATCACTCACGTAATATTTCAGCATAATTCAAATTTTTTTTTAGAAACATTAAAAAAGGAAACTTCTTCCTGTTAGAAATATAATACAACAAAAATAGTTTGAAGATATTTTTTCAATATTCAAATTTTGTAAGATCCAAAACATTTATCCAGGCAGAAACTATTATAATGATAACGTTTTTCGTTCACTGGACAAGAGATATGAATATAATTCTTGCAAATTTACAATTGAAAAGATCTTATCCTCTTGCATTCTGAACACTACCAGCTGGTCTGTTGACCTGCTATTGGAAAGATTGTATCCAACTTTCTACATTTCCATGTTTGCTTGATGGGGGCAGTCCCTACATAAATAACCTTTTTATGATTATTATTACTCACTGTGACGCATAATAAAGCTTTTTTTTACAGCAGTGCAGATGAATAAGTTATAGTTGAACGAGTTTAACGTTAAAAGTTCTGTAGTTTGTATGTTGAATACTTAGAAATTTAAAATCTTAACTTACAATCTGTCGCTTAATAAAATCTCATTATTTAATATAATGACTAATTTATTTCGAGTGTTTAATATTTTTTATTGAAGATTACAGATCATTAATTGAGATACGTAATGACGATAACAATGCGTTCTGTAGTGTCAAATTTGAAATCTAATTGACTCGTCTAATCTAGCAAAGGAAGGAAGAAGTTGTGGCCGTTAAGTGCATCCTTAGGTCCTCACTGAACAACATCTCGAAAGAAAATCTCCTTACAGAGATTGAGTTGATGAAATCATTCAAACACGAACACATCGTTAATCTAAGAGATTTTTCTGTTAGTTTTCTCAAATATTTCTTTCCGCTTTGCTCGTTGTACATGATATAAAAATAAAAATGTTGGTGAGGTTGATGCGAATGATTCAATATGTACAGTACGGCACAATCATCTGATAGCTTCTCTCTTTATATCGCTGTAAATTTATGCTGTCAATAAAATGTTCATCTTCTAAGTTGGCCTCGTTCATGATGTTGACCGACTGCATCTCAATGTGTATTGCGCGTTAGTGAGGTGCCGATATTTAATTTTCATGTCCATGCAGTGGGACGAGACTTACATATATTTGATCCTCGAGTATTGCGCTGGAGGGGATTTGATGTCATTCTTGAAGTCCCGCAAGGTGGTCTCTGAACGAGTCGCCAAGATGTTCCTGCAACAATTAGGTCTCCAGTTCTAATTCTTCAACTTGTTTGTTTCGTTTATGCTCAACTTTATCATTAACTCTATTCCACTAACTCTATTCAATTTTGTTTTTTGAAAATTATTTTTCATTCCGGATTTTTTTTCAGACTCATGGTTCAGCAACGACACACAAACAGTGTATATGAATATATGTGCTAAACGAGGCATCACACACACAATGCTTTTACAAAAGGATAGGTAGTGATCCTTTTGTCGTATTCGAACCTGGTCACCGCATGATGGGACAAGGCGACCATAACTACTAGGCAATGTTCAATCATCTGAGTTGAATTGTTTAATTAGAAGTATTAATAATATGAGCAATGAAATAATTACCAGCTTCAGGTTTGAAGTACATGAGATCGAAACTGGTCTGTCACATGGATTTGAAGCCGTCGAACATTCTGCTCACATCCGCCCACAATCCCATCGTTAAGATTGCTGGTTCGTTTGCCGTCCCCTCAAATATATCCATTCGTTCGTTACTGACATTTGATTCGTTTTCACCAGTTAAAAACTATTGACAAAATTGCCCGTGCACTACTGTTAGGTTAAAAATTGTTCACAATTAAGGATGATCTCTTTTTTAAATGCAAAATTTGAGCAGATTGTTCATAGTCTGTGTTATGTCAACCGTCGTATGTCTCTTCATTCTAGTTTGCCATCTTTTGGATTTATTGCAATTTTTAGTTTACGAATTTTTTGTTCCGTAACAAGTATAAATTTATGTCAAATAATATTTATTAATTTGTTGTAAAAATGATTTCCAACATTTGTAAAAGCTCTACTGACTTTTGTGTTGTAAAGTAGAATTTTATTCTAGATTTTGGATTTGCCCACTATTTGAGTGGGAGCACAGACGCCATGTTCATCAGGGGCTCCCTCCTCTACATGGCTCCTGAGATCGTGACGAGAGGCTCTTACGACGAGAAAGCAGATTTGTGGTCGGTCGGCGTCATTCTCTATGGTTTGCTTTGCCTTGCTTTCATTTTTTTGGCTTTCATTTTTCATCCTATTTCCAACGATCAATAAAATATTAAATAATTATTAGATCAAATATTTCTTATTTATCCTAACAATTAAATTAATTCGACCAAATTAATCTACTAGCTAACTTTAAAGATAGATACAAAAATAGTTTCTATATTTATTTGTTATGTTGATATTTTATGGCATGCCAGTTTTAAAACATTTAAATGACTCTGTGCTTCAATAATAAAAATATGATTTTAACTTTCATTTGTTTTGGAAAATTTTTTATACTTTTCTTGAACGAACTTGATTTCAAACGATAATGAGCAGAATGTTTGTTTGGGAGGGCACCATTTGCATCAAGAACGCTGACTGAATTGGAGAGAAAGATAACAAGCAGTGATCCCATCGAGGTTGGCTGGATCTTTAATTCATGCTTCTCTCTATTTTGATTCGTGGCTTCTGTTCACGTTGGTGTTCATGTTCTTTCGCGAATGCGTTCGTGTTAGCGTGTCGTGATTTGTTTATGTTTCTATCAATGTTCATATTTGTTTTTAATTTCAATTTCTTCTTTTGTTTATCTTTTTTCATGTTTGTGTTAACGTTTGCATTTAATGTTATTTTGGTGATTATTCTTTGGATCATTATGGGCAAAAATTTGCTTTAAAGGACTTATTTAAAGGGATTGATTGCATATATATTTTTAGTGCAAAAGTTGATGTGACATCATTCATGTCTGCTTATTCGAAATTCTGTCGGCATTTCTTTATTAAAAACAGCATCATGCCTGTGTGAGTTAGCTGCTTCAAAGTTTCTCCCTTGCCTCTAATGTTTAAAAGGTGTACAAGATAGTGAGGATGATGATAACATTCCTTAATGCTGATGATGTGCTAATAATTTTATTGCAGATCCCTTCGAAACCATCATCATCATCATCTCAGTTAATTTCTGAATCATGTTTGGATCTGTTGGAAGGATTGTTGAAGAGAGATGTTGATGAAAGGATGGGTTACGATGAGTTTTTCATTCATCCGTTTGTCGATCTAATTCATATACCAACAGAAGACTCTCTTCCAACTGCCGTTTGTCTGGCTAATTAATTAATTAATTAATTAATTAACTTTTTGGCATGGTATTATATGTTTGTATTAGATGATAATATACATTGTTGGTATCTTTTGTAGTGAAGTTTTTTAATTTTAGACAGAGCTGGTGAACAAAGCTACCGCCATGGATGCCAGGAAAAATTATAAATCAGCTCTCAGATTTTATTGTGAAGCTCTTCAATATTTCATGGCTGCCATCCAATGTGGGTTTTTTTTTTTTAAATTTACTTCATTGAATGAGGTTTGCACGTTATTTCATAAGAATTTTTACATTTCTCATTCGAACGATGGAATGTGATCAATATTTGATATTTTTGCATTGTCAGTTGAAACAGATTGTCACAAAAAAGATGTTATAAGATCAAAGGTTTAATTTCGTTTCGTTTCGTTTGTTTCATTTTTGTAACAGTAGATAATTCTAGCGTGATACATTTATCTGTTAATTTGTTTCTTTTTAAACAAACAAACAGACAGGCGAACAGACAGACAGACAAGCAAATAAATAAATAGATAATAATTTGATGAAGGTGAATAAGTACATTGAAAGAGCTGAAGAGTTGAAAAAGATACTTGAAACTGACGTGACATCAGTAGCAGCTGAAGAAGTTGATTCTGCAAATGTTTCAACACCAAAGCCATCAACGTCAAACAGTTCTCATTCTGAGTGCAAGAAAGCATCAAATAATGAAGACTCCCATTCACAACTTTGTTAGTCTTCACCCATTTTGAATTCCAACAATTTTTTCATAAGATTTCAAACAGTATTGTCTTTTATCTATAAAAATTTGTTTTCGGTTATTGTCTGGCAGACATGGTTGTAGTCTGTTTTGTGTGACATTTAAAGGTGTAGATTAAAATATTTTCTTCCCTGTAGCATTGGGGTCCATTATTTGATGTGACGGCAGTTATGATCAGTTGATGCGATGCTATCCATTTTCCGTAAAATTTTTTTAAAAAATCAGTTGCAAAATCATTGATGAAAATGTGATTATGTATCCAACGATTTCTATTGCTCAAATCCAGTGGAATTGTATAAAGACAGCGAAAGTATGATCAAGGCGTTTAACGTTATAAAATCTGCGGAAGACAAGGTTTGTCTGGCAATGAAATGATATTAAATTATTTTAGTCTGTAGCATGTTTTCAATCGGTAATTAATTCCATCTTTTTTTTTATTGATTTTGATTTGTAAAATTTTAATCATTTTCTTCTGTCAACCGTCAAAGTGGGTAAAGATTAGCTGATATAAAATTTATATATTTCTTCACGACACCAACCGACAGGAGATGTCAGAAAACTTCAAATCGGCCCTGCAGAGGTACGAGGTTGCCCTCGATGTCATACTCAGACTCTCTCGAGGTCCATGCCATCTATTGTCTTTCATGATTCAATTCATAATATTTCTTGTCATAGTGCAGAGCGATTGTATCGCCACGCCAACTTTTGCATACATCATATGTCATTTTAAAATCTAGTAGATATTTTTAGAATTTTTTTTACTAGAATGTTCTGTTATATCAATGATATATTCTGTTCTATTTTTGTAAGTCAATGCATGCTTTGCATTAAGAAATGTTCAATGCCTAATTAATCCTGCAATCATGAATCATGGAAGAAGACTTGAAGTTTATTATAAAATAATCGCAGATGAACCAAGCAGCTTTCGAAAGGACATCTTAAAGTCACAGGTAGGCAGCCTACATCATTAAATAAATTTCACATGGTTAATGTAAATTTGTGCCATTCGCCGTATTCGTTGAATGGACTCGTTGTATTTATTTAATAAATAACACTGGTAATAAGATATTATTTTAGTTCGCGGTGCAAAGATTGCTATCTTGTTTGCTAAATTTAAATTTTCGCATCGATCATAGTGAATCAAATTTTGATATATAAATAAAATTTGTTTCTCTTTAAAAATGTTATTCTTCCAACTCCAATACAACCACTCTATCCTCTGCTAGATGTCGAACTGGATGAGCCGAGCAGAGCGCATTAAGCAGTATTTGATATTGAAAGATTCCAAGCAAAGCAATGCATCCAATGAAACTGCCAGTCTGGCGGATGACATGAAATACAGTTTGTCTTTTTGCCCGATTATCCAATTTATTTTTAAAAATTTATATCAGTAGTTTTCAAAATTAAGACAATATAAAATTATTCTTATTACAGACAGTTGTCTGGTGCAGTAAATATGATCGCGATTAGATATTTCATGTCCATACAGCAAGAAGAAATATCAGCAAGAAGAAATATACATGTTATCAATTCATTTTTTTATTTCTAATCCATTAAGTCACCTGTTTTCTCATTCCAATTTAAAATTGTGCTATATGTATATATCTATATGTAATGCAGTTTGTGATTCTTCGTTCCTCAACGGACCTACTGATGTCATTTCTTAGCGTTATTTAAATAAATTTTGTGTATTTAATTTAATCTATTTCAATTTTTCTTTATATATGAGAAGAAGCAGTCTGTAGTTTGGCGCAGAATACAGAGACTGTCTGTATGCGGAGACGGAATACCGCGTTTTTATTAAAAAACCCTCTTAATTTCAGCAAACATGAAGATATTCATTGATATTTGTTTTATATTAATACAGTAAATCTTTCTTCATGTAGTATAATTTTTTCACATAAGTAGACAAAAAAACACTTGACATTTTAATTAATTAATACTAAATAAAATAATGTTATTTAAAACTAAAATATGCAGAATGTTGAGATATATATGAGATATATATAATATATATATATATATAAATAGCACAATAATACTGCACTCACTACTACAAATTGATAAATATGTATCTCGTCGTGCCCCTGTCTATATCCCACAACGCATCTTAACATGAGACGACACCACTTTGTTTGTTTGTTTGCATCCACACTGTGAACTCACATCACTTTGAAAAATGTCCCCACTCAATATTTTTTTTTCCTATTTATGTTCAATTGTTTTACCTTATTAGGGGTCAGGTTGGCTTGCAGCGATGAGATGACCTGACCCAGATTTGTGTTGAGGCCTGATCCATATTTGCTTGCTTCTGTTTTGAAGATTGTTTTGTTTGAACCTTCGCTAAAGATATCTTGATCGCATTTCAAGTTTGAGTTTTCTTTCTGCTCTAGTTTTGGCGTCTGTGATAAAATTATTTTTATTGGTGATTGTTATGTTTCGTGATTCAGTTATTGTTAAATGTTAAGTATGAAATGTCGTTATTGTTATTATTAACGTTATTGAGTAGCTTGTTTTGCCACTTGCATGTGTGTAGTGTATATAATATATACAAAATTTGTTAATTGAACTGGCTAGTTTATATATGATGTCGCTTTACATTGAATCAATTCAGTTCTTCACAGTTATTTATTTATAATAATAATTATTATTATACGTAAATTAAATATTTAATGACTAATAATAATAGCAATAATATTATTATTATGAAATGTTTATAATAAAAAAATTCGTCCACTCACTTCTCTGTAATAATCGACGAGGAAGGACCAGTTGTCGTCCCTTCAAATTTCGCATATGCAGGTAATAAAAATAAGGTTACGTAAAATTATTATCTTACTTAAAATTATCTTACTTAAAACTATCTTACTTAAAATTATCTTACTTAAAACTATCTTACTTAAAATTATCTTGCCTAAAATTATGTTGAATGAAACGAAACGCTATATAAAGGATGGTCTTTATTATAGTTAATGAAATTAATACGGATTACATTGATATAGACCATTTGCATAATCACGCCTATTACATAAAAACAGAATATATTATTATGAAGGCTGATATGATGGAGTAACACAGATTCATTGTTTTTTTTTAATTCTTGTTACTGTCTATTGCGAACTGATAGAGATAAATGTGATTGTTGGAATTGAAGTTTTCGGTTCGGAACGAGTTCACTCTATAGAAATTCATTATCAAGTTAATCATCATTAAGGGACATTGACGTTGTATGTTGTTGGTGTTAATATAGGGCACGTAGACTACCTCGCTCTAGTTTAATGCTGAAGATTATACGCCACTGTCTAAAATAATGTGTGGCATGACTTCAAACAACTAGTTGAATATTGAAGTTACAAGAAGAATTACGGATATGTATTGTAAAACAACAATAGGCATTTGATAATTTGTCTCGCAATTTTAAAGAAAAAGTGGAAAATTTTGGGCAAATCAATTTGAAATTGCGAAGATAGATCGATTAAGGAGCCAAGAGCGTAATGGCACGTTTGAATGGACGCTAAATAACTTGCCAAGCCAAACAAAGTTCAAGCGGGAGTAATATATAAATCAACTTGAAGAAGAAATAATATCGGGCGTTAGAGTAACTGACCTTGAATTTAATGTTGGAATCTAATAAATTGATAAGCATGATTAGATAAACGACAAATTATTTTGGCTTCATCAATTAATATTTGATTATTTGTATGTATTTATAAAACAAAATACAAATTAGAAGATTTGAAAAACTCCATAATTTGAATAGAACTAAAATTTGAATTACGAATAATTTGGGCACGAACCACTTCTGACGTGCTCTGTTTTCCCTTTCAATGGCCTTCACCCACAGTTTGTTGGCCAGTACATCATCCTGATTAACTCCACCACTTCCTGCATTTTTTCGGTTGTTCTTGGAGCTGGTGTTGGTGTGGGACACACTGGCTGGCTTTTCCATCATCGGTTGAACAAATTTAAGACGGCTAACCTTCGAATAAACTTCCAAATTGATTGAAGTAATATATTTCAGCTGTTTGTTTGATTTTATAATAATTTTTTTTATTGTTTACGATAATATTGCTAAATGTCCAACAAATAGACAACTTTTATTCAAAAACTTATTTAGAGATTTTAAATAATAGTTCTTCAAACAAATTAACTTTTTTCATTTTTGAGATGGCTGTTCATTGGCCTAAATACAATTTGTCAACTGAAATCAAAATAGCAGCTGTAAAGAAGTGTCAAAACTAAGCAGGGCCTAAATATATATCACGATGTGACATAAAAAATTCACGAACATAAAAGCAATTCAACTCTCTGTGAACGTTTTTCACTTTTGTGTACGTTAACGAAGTAAGAAAGCATTGCTCAAGGGCTGATGAAGTTGTCCCGTCACAATTTTATCACAATTTGCGGAACAACGCAGCTTTTATCTTTCCTTCAAAAGCAATTTCTTCTATGAAAGCGCGTGCCTGCCTTCAGGAGTTATACGTGTTATGTATGTACAGTTTATGTCTGTGCGTAGTATTTTCGTATACGTATCAACGTACGTATATTATGTACGCATTCGGATCATACATTCACCGTGTGAAAATATAAACGACTGTGTTTGATAGTCTGTCATAAATCCTGATATCATCTGATAACATTGGTCGTATGTTGGTACGTGAAGCGTTTTCTAATCATCCTTAATAAACTCAGTCGGCTTTCTATTTTTTTTAACATCATTACTGTATCATTGTTATGGTCATTTCATCAACATTATCACTGCCATCATGTCCATCATCATTATTGTCATCATCAGTTGTCACTGATGTGAATGAAACAAATTTATCATTTATCCAACGGTATCTTGACCGTAAATTTTTCTTGCCTGTTTGTTATCTTTATTTTATAGCCATTGATATCACTGTTTATCATCATCGTTATCATCATCATTATCGTCGTCATCATCAACACCATAGGTATCATCATCATCATCAACTGCATCGTATCTTAACAGCCTATTCATCATCATTCATCATCTATTCATCATCATCGTCATCATCATCATCGATTGGATATTAAATGTTAATAAACATAGCATTTGTTGAGCGATCACCATAGCAACCGCCTAAACATAAACAAACGATTGCAATTTAATTCGTCGATTGGATGGATGGATGGATGGATGGATGCGCGTCTGTTTGTTGTTCCTAGTTACCTACCTATCTATTTTTATCGGTGTTGTTTTCATATTTTATTAGATTATTTATTCTTTGTTGTTTTCTTGTTATTATTATTTACTCTGTGTGTATGAAAATGCGTGCTGTCAATTGAAGAGGCCACAACTTCTGTTTCGGTTGTAATGCGTAGTTCAAACGCTCGGGGAGGACGTGCTAAGGTAGCGTTATTGCTTAACATTTTCGGACACAAATGTTTTTTATGTCGTGATATTTGGTTACATGGTTAGTATAAAAGTAATATGCGGATGTTATTTATGTACTTGTTATGTGGGGTTAACATTTGCAAAGCTTCTTGACCTTTTGGCGTTTCTTCATTCGACTCACAGCGCAACACAACCAAGTAGGTCAATGTAGGGTGGTAATGGGAGGCATGTGTTGGGAGATTATTTATTATTGGCACTAATGTTTGGGGTGTTTGTTGCTTCTATTTGTTGCAGTTGCTTGCTGCTGCTACTTGTTACTGTTGCTTGTTGCTGCTACTTGTTGCCGGTATACATTGATAATATTTTTGGTAAATGTTATTTTATTATTGATTGTGGCTTATGTATTAATAGTTGGTGGTTGAAGTGTTTCGCTCAAACTTGTTGTTAACATCCAACACCGATCTTTGTTTTTGCCGTAATTACCCATGAAACAAAAAAGCCATCTGGTTATTCCATTTGTTGAAAATTATTCTTCTCGTCCAAAAAACTTTTGATAAAATCAAAATGTTTATAATGAAATTTACTTGACTAAAAGAAGTAATTAAGGCTTCTCGAGATAAGCTAAGAGAGATGATGTGAGCAATAATTTGTTACTCGTTGGTTTGAGTGAGTGAAAATTGTTGTCAGAAAAGTAAAACTAGTTTCTGATGTGCCGGATATTTTATGAAAAAGCTGGACTACGCTGCTGCTTGCGCTGCTAATGGTTGGGAATGTTAGTAAGATTACCACAAAAACACCAAACGAACGTACAACAGTGATTCTTTTAAAAATGGTTCCACAGACACCGAAAGTTAAAAAAATCTCCTAAGAGCTAGATAACCCAAAGATTATCAATTTATCAATTTTTTTAAAATAATTAGCGGGCAAGATGACAATTTCCTATTTTTGTAAATGCTATTTCAAAAATATTGACTTCGTATGCGTTACTCTCACACACACTCATCATATACAACGAATTATTATTTTTATTATTTTTATTCTGTTAGCACATTATTGTTATTATTATTATTATTATTATTCTGTTATCTCGGGATGAGATATGGAGCAAAATTAATTGCTTGATCGAATGAAGGATTGAGTTGTGAGTGAATAAAAAGACCCGATTGATTCAACAACCACCACGTATTTCTATCGGCGTTTGACAGTTTTTCTTGATTTCTAATATAAAATAAATTCATCTATTATCAAGGCCGTTTTCATCATCATCATCACGATCATCATCACCATCATCATCACGATCATCATCACCATCATTATCAATCACGATCATCATCATCATCATCATCATCATCATCATCATCATCTTAGTATTCGGTCAGCTGAAGACCGCTCCTCACAACCCATTAATTTTGGTTACCGTGACAATAAACGTGACGTCGGTGATGATGATGATTAATAGGAGAACTTCGATGATGATGATGATGACGACGATGACGATGATAATAATGATAAAATTTAATAAAAACACAAATAATGTGATGATGGCTATGATGACCATACAGATGACGCTGAAACCGCAATGACAACATTTGTTTTATTCTGATTTCATATTCTTACATTTTATTATAATTATAACTTTGGCGACGCGATGGCCTTGACCCTTGACCCTACCAAAACTTCTAATGTTGGACCCTAACTCTAACCTCATGGCTAGGTCTCTGGAAGGAAGGAAGGATATGGAAATGATGATCTACAGATGATCTACAAATGATCTAAATATCGGCGATAATTTACGTTGGTGGTGATTTAGATCTTGAGGATGACGATGATGAAGATGATGAATTTCGATATCCATCACAAAAAGCACAACAGCTGTTTTTAGTTACGCCAGTTTGCAGGCGTGCATTTTCACGGAATTTTTAAAGAGGTTTCTTTTATGTGCTAGTTTCACACCTTTCAATCAATCAACTGGTCGATTAACGATCCAATCAAGGAAAACAATCACAAAAAGAAATTAACAATCATTCAGTCATTCGATCAGTCAATCAATGAATCAAAAGGTGGCCAACTTATCAATCACCAAGTTGAAATGATCCACCTGGAACAAGAGCAACTATTTAGAAATTGCCTGCATGAAGGTATTTGTTGTGATGCGTGTGCCTTATCAGATGTGTGTGTAAGCACGCATATGTGCAATATTTTTTTTGTCAGTATGTGTTTTTGTTGTTGTTTTCTTTGTGACCGTGTGTGTTGTTGATTATCTTGTTTACATGTGATTGTTGTCTATTTATGTGTGTGTGTTGTTTATGTGTGTGTTTTTGGTTTACATTGTTTACACGTGTTGTTTATTTGTGTATGTGTGTTTGAGTTTATATTTGTGTGTGTGTGTGTGTTGTTTGTCTGTATGTTGTTTATTATTTGTGTGATTATGTCTATTTGTGGGAAACAATGTTGTTGTATGCCTGTCTTTCTTCCATAACATCAGTGTGATGCTGTGCTGCAACTGGCATGTTTGTGTTCATCTGCACAAGTCAGTTATTACTTCCATGCGAAAGTATTATATTCATTTTTATACTTATAATAACATTTCCATTACTCATGCAGTATTTTTTATTTGTTGATAGCAATATTTTTATGCCATGGATGAAAACATTCTGAAAGCGTTTTTGTAGAACAAACAAATGAACGATCTCGAGTATCCATTAATGAGGAGAGAGAGAGAGAGATAGAGAGAGAGAGAGAGAGAGAGAGAGAGATAGAGAGAAAGAGAGAGAGAGAGAGGAAAAGCTAAACATCAAGGAGAGGAATAAAATAAACCGACGAAAGCAAGAAGAATTAAGAAGGATGGATGAAAGTTGATGAGTCAGATGTGCGTGTAGATGGTGCAATCACGGAGATGATCAGATGATTATGATGGAAATGGTGATGTGAATGATTAGATGATTATGATTCGAAAATAGATAGGATGTAAGTTAGTTGAAGTTATATAAAAGTTAGATAACTATAGACGAGTAAACCAAACACTACATGAAAATAATAAAAAGCAACTGACATAATTTTAACATAAATGGATATCAAAATGGCGGCTGAAAGAATGAAGGATGGGTTTACAGCCTTTGTGAATGGTATCGATTCTGGGTGGAAAGTTTAAAAGCTTCACATCTTTTTGGCCATCCGTTCATCTGTCTGCCGGTTCATACATTCGTCTGTTGATTGATCGCTGTCCATCCATCCAATTTATCCATGCATCCATTTTTTCTATCTATTTGTTCGTCTATCCATCCATTCATTTATCCATCTACTCACCCATCTATCTATTCGTCCATCCGTCCGTCCATTCATCCATTTATCCATTCATCCAATCATCCTTCCAACTGCGTAAAAAATTAATCATTATAACATATCTTTGCATATTCACCATAAAAACAATAAAATGGTAACTTGGTCCTCCAGAGAACTCCTACAATCATAATTTTTACAAAAATTTTATGCAGAATGCAGCAAATTATAATTAAAAATCTATGTAAATATCTAAATTATTTATGAATATATAATTAATGAATTAATGTATGTGTGTGTGTGTGTGTGTGTGTGTGTGTGTGTGTGTGTGTATGTACGTACGTACGTACGTATGCATGTATATAAAATATATTTTGCAAGGAAAATAAAGAAATGTTACAATTAGTGATCGTGCAAGCATTTAATAAATCATTAACATCAGTTTTTAGATGCAAGAAGGATGTACGTACATATCTGTCTGTTTACTGCATCATCTTAAATGCACTGCACATATCATATCAAGTCGCTTAAATTGGATCAGTTTTAAAGTTATGTTCTAAGAGAGTACTTTTTATTTACTATCCAAAAATATACAAACGCGCATCAGCACACGTGCATATATATGGCAAAGTGCACAAATGAAGACGAATCAATGTTCATATTTGTTAAAGTAAGCACACATACACACACCACACACACACACCCAAACACACACAAACACACACACACACACAAACACACACATACAGCTTAACGTAGCATAGCAAACAAGCATAAATTAGCATGTAAAAAGTAATATATAAGAAATCTATAAACAAACAACAATCACCCAAATTATTGTAGATTATATATGCATGCATACATATTTATATAATAATGGTATGTTATATATATATATATATATATATATATAGAGAGAGAGAGAGAGAGAGAAAGAGAGACATATAGATATAGATATATAGATATATAGATATATATAGACATGTAAGTATGAATTTGCATTTTTATTTTCCTAAACACGATAAAGATCTCGTGAAACAAGTTGTTTTGTTTTGCTTCGTTGAAAAGCATTATGAAGAGTCGGATGGCTGCTGAGTGGTTTCTTTGGTTCAATTACAACGGATCATATTTGTAAATTATAATTATTGAATTTTCTGAAAATATACTAGATCATTTAGTTGCAGCATTTTGTATTTCACTTTAATGATCATCTCATCAGAACGTTGTTGGTGCAACTCATCACTCGAACGATTATATGGAAATGTACAGAACCAGATCAATCTTTGCACGATTTTGAATTTAAATATTTCAAAAAAATTAAATTGAGAAGCTAACTTTTTAATAGGTGCAAAGAAGTAAGCACAGAACAGTAGCATGGCGACAGATGAACTATCGAGGCAAATAACAAATCGTAAGATGTTGGTGGATGAGATCCAGGCTGAGTTTCTCGTGTGTGCAGTTTGTTCGGAGCCCTTCAAACGACCCAAGACTCTCAGCTGTCTGCACACTTTCTGCGCACGATGCATTGAAAATATTCACAACACAGAGCTGACCTACCGGAAGTACGGCGATCCCAGAGAGGTCACGTGTCCAACTTGTCTGAAACGAACTCAACTTCCGGTAGGAGGAGCTAAAAATTTGATGGACAACACATTGATTTTGAATCTCTGGGACTTGGTCGATCGCCAGAGGAAATCGATGGTGGCAGTTCAAGGTCAGCGACCTCCGTGTCATATTTGTGGTTACGACAATGAAGAGGATCCGCTCAAAACTTCCAACAACGCTTCGAATGTTGGGAGCGGCGGCAGCAGCAGTGCTTGCAAAAATGCAAACGCGGCTAACGGTCTTTCAAATAAAATAAATAAAAACAAAAGAAAAATGAAGAAAAAGATCTCAAAACCGGAAAAACCAGTTGAAATTTATAGACTCAGGAAGTCTTTCATAGCAGAGAATGCAACACTGAGAACAACAGTTTACGAGGAGAAGTCGAAGCAGAAGGAGTCGAGCGACAGCAGCTGCGATGACAGCAGTTCAAGTGGCGACGACGGTAACTTCACCAGCGGGTAAGTTGCTAGTTTTTCACACGTTGAATTTTATTAAATAATTCAATAACGTTTTATTTCTTTTTATTTGGTAATTATTGTGTTTTATTACGTATTATATTGCTCATTTGGAGCCCCAGTTAACTCCATTTTTATTTTTGAATGTGTATTAAAACATTTTTTTTACATTTAACATTTTAAAAATATTCCGGAAACCAAACATTTGCAAGCACATCACAAACCCGTATGCGGTGGGCGAAAATAAGTTCAATGTTGGAAAATAATATGGAGGATGATTACATCCCATCCACGTTCCATAATGCATTATTACGTTGTATATATATATATATATATATATATATATATATATATATATATAATGTTAAATATAAAATAAAAGAATTATTATTATTAATTGATTAAAAACAAATTTTTTTTAAGATAAATATTTATAAAAAAAAATAAAAAAAGACAAACACTTTTGATTTTTTTAAAGTTTTGTTTCGGAAAACAACAGAAAAAAAACTGGAAGTACAAGTAGCAGCAGCAGCAACTACAACAGCTACACTAGCTGCAGTAACAACAGCAACTACAACAACAACTACAACAACAACATCAATCAGAACAACATTTCAACAACGAATAATAATGATTACGGCGCGGGGGATAAAACGGCGGTAAGTAAGTGCTTGGAGTGCAACAAATTGTTGTGCAAGGCTTGTGTTGGCAAGCATAGAACAATGAAAGTTACCAGCTGCCATTCCTTGTTCGACCTTGACACTGAGAAAGATGCCGAATGTAAGGATCACCCTGGAGAACCCGTTAGGTCAGGAAATTGAGTGGCTTGCCGATCGGTTGGTTGATTGACTGGCCTGGCTATGGTTGGTTGATAAACTGGTTGGTTAGTTGGTTGATTGGTTGGTTGGCTGGCTATGGTTGGTTGATAAATTGGTTGAAATATTTTGATGATTCATTAAAAAGAAAGAAAATAAGTTAGCAATGAAGTTCAGCTGATTAAAATTCATCGCATTTTTTATCGGTTGCCTGCACTTAAACTCAAACACATTTAAACCTAAGATTAAAACAACTTAAATTGATAGAACACGCCAATAACGACAGGTTTTATTGTGAACGCTGTCAAATGTGCGTCTGCGTCCTCTGCGCATTCAACTCGCATCGAGAGCACAACGTGGAACACTTCTCGGACGCTGCCAACAAACACAGGGAGCCCCTGAAGGACCTCGTGGAAAAGTGCAGGAGGCAGTCTTCATCGTTCGGTTCTGCCCTCAACAACCTCACACAACTGGAACTCAACTTGAAGGAAGTTGGTCTGCCTGTATATCTGTTTTTATAAAATATGCTGCTTGAGTGCGTCCGTGTATATGCATGCACATACAATAAATGCGAATGATACATTTGATACGAATGATACAAACAAGGCAAATGATACAATTGATACGTATGATATGACCGAACACAAATGATGGCAGGTTGAAACGAAAATTCGTGAGACAGCCTCAGAGATGGTGATGCAAGTGAGAAAGGAAGAGAGATCGCTGGTGGAGCAGCTTCAGCGAATGTTCCATCCGAGTGTTCTCGAGTATGTTGAGAACAAGAACGATCTCGAACTTCAGGTTGTATGCTGATTGGTTGTCTGGTTGAAAGAGTTTTGAACTATTTACATGTAATGATCATAGATTTTTGTTGTTTTTCATAGTTCTCGTTATCATGCTGCTAAAATATTTAAATGGAGATTTTTTTAAAATCGAAGCAATGCAAAAAATTTTTTTAGTAATTTCTTGCTGTGGCTGTAATTTACATATTACACATGCAGTACTTGCTGTCGATGTCTCAAATAAATGAGTTTTGGACTAATTTCAACCAAACTGCTCATCGAAACCTCTCTGCTGCTCATGTCGACGAATGAATAAATAAACAAACGCGTAGAACGTCTGTCTTAAGGGCGATAACAAAAAAATTTAGCAAATGATTTTATCAGAAGCAAAGAATTTTTAGTTGTAAACAAAAACGGTCCCAAACGTCTGCTGCAATAATTAATTCTCTGTTACCAAACAAAATGGATCTGTAATTTTTGCGGGTGTAACAAAAATTAAGAAGTTCTATGCTACATTACTATATAAACACATGTCGGGTTGAATTTACAACATTTACGTGATATATATATATATAATTATTATATATTAAATAAATATAATATATATATATATATATATATAATTATTATATATTATATAAATATAGGCACATACATACACTACATACACACACGCACACTTACACACACACACACGCACACACACGCATATACGTATATTGATTTATATTAAAAAATAGTCTATCTAAACTGACTGTATATGCACGTACACAATAAGATGCTGACTGATTTACGTTGAAAACATCTCACAAAAGAGATAATTATTTTTTGTAGATAGTTTATTTTGAAAGTCAACTAAAATAGGGAACACAGATAGACATACGCGAACACACACACAGACACACGCACGCATGCACACACACACAGATGCAAAAAGTTAAAAATTACTTACTGTTTAGTAATTAAAATTAAGATAGCAATTTGTATAATAAATAGAATCAGTAAATCAATGTTATTATTTAAACATTTTCAGACTAATATGTCATTAAAATTATATTAATGCGTTTTTATCCAGTTAAACTTTTCCTCTTCTTCTTCTTCTTCTTCTTCTTCCTCTTCTTCTTCTTCTTCTTCTTCTTCTTCTTCTTCTTCTTCTTCTTCTTCTTCTTCTTCTTCTTCTTCTTCTTCTTCTTTTTCTTCTTCTTCTTTTTCTCGTTATAGTTATGCTGAGACGGAAATTATAATTGCAATATTAATCTAATCTGGTTAAGCAGATAAATTTTAACGACGGACAGGCATGGGATTAATCAACAATATTGTAACACACCCAATGCATGCAATGCTTAACTATTATTATTATTGTTATAATAATTATTATTATTATAATTTCAAATTTTTATTGTACAACCAACAAAACCCCATCCATAAATCCTGGGCAATTAAATCTCTGGTTCTATTTCTACATTATAGATAATTTTTAAAATAACTTTATTATGATAACTGAACTTTGTGACTTTATTATTATAACTAAATTATTTTTATGGGCGACCAGCAGTAGTAGTAGAAGTAGGGGTAGTAGTGGTAGTAGCAGCAAAAAAAAACTCGAGTAATTTTGTATTTTTGCAATGTTCCTTCGTTATTTCACTATCAGCTTTTCATCTTTATCTACATTTCATCTACAACAACATCAACAAAATAATAATAACTACATAATTACTATAAAGTATATTACAACAACAACTACTACTACTACTATTACTACTACTACTACTACTATTACTACTACTACTACTACTACTACTACTACTACTACTACTACTACTACTACTACTACTACTACTACTACTACTACTACTACTATTACTACTACCACTACTACTACTATTACTACTACCACTACCACTATCACTACTAATAATAATATCAATAAAAGAAACAAAAATATAAATAAAAGTAATAATAATATTGTAAAATTTGTGATAATATCTGATCATTAGCTACGTATATTGCTGCCTGTCTGCTAAGATCAAATGCATTAACCCAAAATATTTTTTACATGTATATTATTTATACATATATATATATGTATGTGTGTGTGTGTGTGTTTGTGCGTGTGTGTCTCTGTGTTTGTGATATATCATCCGTCCGGTGTTTAGTCAATTTAAATATATAATCAAAATTTATAATTTGTCATCAAAAAAAAAACGGAAACAGATGTAAAAAGATTTTATAAAAGAAATCAAATAAATAAACTTTTGAATGAAAATAAAAAATCTTTGAGGAACATGAACGCGCAAGTAAGCATGAAGAACCAGAAACTTTAAAAAATGTACTTATTAGCTAGCTATAAGTAATTGGTACTAAGCACATGTACATATAAGTACAACGTTACTTGCTATCACTAATAACATGTGGAAAATCGATAACTGAAATAGATAATTATATTCATCAATATAATTAACAAATATAATTATATATGATTTGGCAATCTTTTGTTTAATCTTTGTTTTAAAGTCGTTAAGATATAATTCGGTTCACAAAAATTATTTTCTATGAATTAATTAACAAATATTGAGTCTTGCTTGTTATTTAGTTAGCAGCTACACTCCGTAACAGGTTTTGACAACTTCTCATGTTCAATTGCATATGTCTCACTCCGGTTTGTTGGTTTATTTAATGTTGCTCCGTTCATTAACTGTTGCATAAGTAATTAACACGTTGGGTTGATTCAATACTTCGGAGTTTATTGTAAAGATTTTCTTACTAAGAAATAGGTATTGAAGTAATTTTCATAATTTATGAATATATTAACCAACTAAATTTTATTTATAGGCTGAGTATTTTTAATTCAAAACATGACCTTTCAATTGGCGGCTGCAATTTAGTCGCTTGCGAAACTTTTGGCCACCGTTAACTGAAGTTTTGGAATCGAGTAGTTGAAAGTTTAAAAAAATAATTGACTGATTTTGTATTCATAGATAAAGAAGAAACACAAAACTAAAAAAAGTGTTATGAAGATGGCAAACAATTTTTAAAGTTGTAATGAAATCCTTTGAACAAATTTGACACTTTTGAAATTTGCAAAAAATAATTAGAACCATTCAAATATTTCAAATAATCAAATGAGATTGAGCTTAGAATTTTTTTTCATCTGCACGTAGTGTGGCGTGTTTGATTTGTTTTGTTGGAATGTTTGCTTGAAAGTTCCGTGGAAAGTGTGTGCACATGCGTGCGCCTCCATTTGCACTGTTTACATCTTAGTTCATGGTATTATCTTACTCGCGGTTTTTGCGCACATAAACTAACCTTTTTATTTTTCATCGTTTTTACGCCAAGATAATCCATGCAAATACTAAAAAAAACTAAGTTTGGTTGTGAGGTCCTTTTTTTTAATTAAAAATGTAATCAACATGACAGTTGAATTGTTCGTATGCGCTCTAGTGTAATACGGAGCAATGGCATAGTAATAGTGCAGTAATCAAATGCAGTAATCATGTAATATTTATATAGTAACTTTACAACTCTGCAGTGCATGGGAAGTGAATTGGTATCGGTATGAACATGAATGTTGGTATTTCTGTTTTTCTATGATCTGGAACGCTTGCTTCCTCCTCTTTCGTTCAAGCATTTATGTTTTCAATATAATCTTATTAATAATTCGAGCCATGGATAAATATAACCCATTATTCGAACACGAAGCACAAATCAGGCGTTTAAAAAATTATTCAATTAATCTTTCGGAAAATCAAGAACTCTTTTTCTTATGGTGATTAACTGTGTTTTTTAAATTAATTCAGCCAAACATCCGTATCACTAAAGAGAAGTAATTAAATTTTCAGATCGAAACGATAAAAAGTGCGTGCAGTCTGGCCGATGTGATCGCCGGCTCGAACGACGTTGAGATGATGCTGCTGAAGAGGGATGTGGAGGAGAAGCTGAAGAGTCTGCTGGACATTGGCCTCAAGCACCTACCTGACAAAACTTTCGAACAAACATTTTCATTCATTCCAGGAAAAGCTCATTTGGGAGATTTGAAGGTTGAGGCCAGGAGTAAGAAGAGCTGATGGATGTTGAACGTGCCAGCGACGCATGTTTCAAAGTGGTGACACGTCTGTTGCACTAATGTTCTATTGTTATATATCATTACACCAGTATGTTATTGCTGCTGATGAACGTTCAACGAGGTTGATAATTTTTTTTATATATTTTTGATAACTATATTTAAAACTTTGTATTTCATTTTCCTGCATGTCTTGAAAAAAATTAAAATTAAAAGTCACTGTTAAATACATACATATCATATGTAGTTAGATTAAAGAAAAAATAAAACAATTCATACAAATTACATGTAGGCTATCACAAAAATGTTGTTTGTTTCTTTCCTCAACATAAACAATATTTATTTGTTTAAATTATTTTTTTGGTTTTCAGCAAAAAAAAAATTGCAAAACTGTTCAAAAAATATTTTTAGAATATTCTCACAAAACACGATCAAATTAGTTAAAAAAAATGAAAAAAGGTGTAAGAATATTTCGGAAATTTCTGGTGGAAAAAAGTTTATAATGACTGACGAGCAGAGTTGTGAACAATGCAAACAAACCACACCACGTGCAACGATATTTGCTCACCTCCTTGCCATTCATGCATCTCCGTAATTTGCAAGTTTGAGAATGACGTCGCGCCGAAATGAAGATACGCCAGAAGTCATAATTTCAAAAGTTTGCCTGTCTTATAAAGAAAAGAAAAATGGCTAGACAGTACGACAGAGTTAGGTGTCAGCAAATCATCACATCGTCATCACATAGTCGTATCAAAGTCGCGTCATATCATATTTGCCACCGTACCAACTTCATCACATTAGCTAGCGCATCGTCAAATTAGCACACAAACACGTCATCATCTAATCAGCACCTAATTAAGTTACGAAGGTGCAAAAGAACATTGGCAAGTTCGGCATCATTAGCGACTTCAAACATTGTTCAAATAATAATAAAATGATATTAAACAGTACAAGAACAATTGAAATAATAAGAAGGAGAATACTAAAAATAGATAGAAAAACAACAAAACTGGAACATTGACATAACAAAAGCCTTCAGAATATCAAGTAATATCAAGATAATATCAAATAATATCAAGATATAATTTCAACAACAACAACAAACAACAACACAGCAACATAAAACAACTAAACTGAAACAATAAATTATTCAACACCTTATTTATTAATTATCATCATTCAAGATTTAAAATTTTATCACTGAAAGTCAGAAGTAATAAAACTTAAACAGCTAATCTTAACTAATAGATATTAAATATATATTACTATACTACATATGCTATGCTTATTTATTATTACAATTGTTATTATATGACACAACAAAATTATCAGCTAACATTAACAACAACACCAACAATATTCATAACAAATATATATTTGACCAATAATATTAATAAAAAGTTCCCCTATTTCATGATTAAAAAGTCAAACTGCTACAAAGTTTTAATAACAGATGCAGTGGTATTCAAATAAGTATACATGCTGATGTTAGCACCGACCTAACATCAACAGTATAACACCATGGTGATAAAAACAGACACCATGATGATAAAAACTGGACAAGCATTATTTGAAGCTACGGAGCTTGCTTAAAAATGTCCTACTCCAAAATATTATCCAAAAACTTTAAAATGAAGCACTAAAAAGTTTGACATTGCCGGGAAGGTTAACAAGTTGTATGAAGGTGTTTGCCGACTGGTAGTGTCAGTTCAGATCCGGTCATACTCAGAAGAAGAAATAAAAAATATAAAGGAATGTTTACTGATGCTATCAACCTGATGGTCAGTTTTTTTTGGTTCGATACGACGACCCTCATTTTGAAACAAGTGTTGTATCGTCACCCTTCATTCCAGGTCCGAATATTAAAACAGAGGCACATACGAGCAAATGGCACAGATGAATATCGCTAGGAAATAGGCATTAAGCAACAAATTGCGTCAACAAAGAGATTTGTTCAAATTAAGCACTAATTGAAACAGTATTAAAAATATTCGTTCTATTTAATTAATTAATTCAATCTTATTAATGCTACTGCTGGCATCTGCGTGCGAAAACAAACACAACTTACCAATTAATTAACGTTATTAGATCATGTTTATGCCTGCCAGTGGCGGATCCGAACAAATTTGACGAGGGGGGGGGGCAAAATTTTGAAAATGTTTAGATTTTCATTGGAGAGGAAAAAAAAGGGACCAAAATTTTTTATGGTTAACGATAGTGAGGCAATTGTATTTAATAGTGGAATAACTGTTTTTTTTGCTTATTTCATTCAATTTTTGGTCGAAAAAACAGTCCTTTTTCTGACTTTTATTGAAAAACTGCTAACTTTTATTAAAAAACTGCTGACTTTTATTAAAAAACTGCTGACTTTTATTAAAAAACTAGGTGGTCGAGGAGAGCCCCTCTCAGCCCTCTAGATCCGCCACTAATGCCTGTTAAAACTTTGATTTTGCACATGTAGCAAATAATGAATAATAAAATTTTGTAAATCCTGAAATTTTTCCAACCACCATCTTCATAATACGTTGAAAAACTAAAAATTGTAACCAACCCACGCAAATAACACTGCTGCTACTTTTTTATTAACTTTTTGAAATTCTTGTAAGCATATTGAACTTTTTTCTTGAAGGGATCATATTTCAAACAGTAGATAATGGGGTTGAAGCAACTATTCATGAATACCAATATAACAGAGAGCTGATATAGCCAGCCACTAAGACTTAATAGAAAGATCGAAGCCAAGAAGAAGTAAACTTCATTCAGCGTGATGCACATTGCAAACGACAAGGAAAGTATCATAGAGGTCTTCAAGATGTTGTCTCGAGCTCTGGCCATCGTTGACTTGGGTTTCATTTTCTGAACATTTGCACTTGAAATAATATTCGGCTGATGGAGATGATTCGGGGCATTGATGTTAACGTGCGCTGACAGATCTTTTCTATTATCGTCACAAACGCAACTCTCAACATCCTCATTCACCTCGCCAACGTTGCTCGCCTCCATTTCAATTTTTGATGTCTGAACGCTGTACACAGTTGAATTTTCTGCTCCTAGTTTTATGTTTTGACCTGTTGTAGTCGTTTCGCTGCCAGGTTGGATTTTGTTGTGCAGAAAAACTGCCATGCGCAGGTACATGCAAGTGAGGAGCGTCAGGGGCAGGCAGTAATCGAAGATGAAGATGAAAATGCCGATGACTTTTTGCATGGTTTTACTGGGATATTCTGTGAACGAAGAACATTGACCTGTAAAGATTTTTTTAAAGGTAATTAAAAATTAGATTGATTTTCAACTCCATTTTGTAATAAACTTTGAATTCAGCAAAATTTCAAACAAATTGATATTATGATTTCGTTCACAAGTATCTAGGATAGCAAGTAATGTTTCACATAATCGTACCGTTTTTGACAATTCCCGAAGAAATGATGGAGTAGAAGAATTTGAAGCCGATGCCGAAGACCCAGACCGTCAGAAGCATGATTATGGAGTACATCTTCGATTTTGTGAACTTGGTCTTATGAAATATTGGATAGACGACTGCGATGTACCTCTCAAAATTTAGAATGACAACGGAGTATATGGAGGCGTTGATGGCACCCCACAAGACGATCTTCGTGAACCACATCTTGCAGAGAGACTCGTGGTAGAGATTTCCTTGAATGTACCTGTTGGTGTCGTTGTCTTCTATCAGGGTTGTCGTCAAGAGGAAGATGGCTACCAGGGAATCCACGCAGGCCTGAGTCCATGTGGTGTGGTGTGGTGTGGTTGTGGGAAATTAGTTTAAGATGATTGCAGGGATAGAAATTTAACAATATTCAATCCTATAACATAATATAACATTTTTAGTAGACTCAATTCAAAGTCTATATGCTTAAATCTAATAAATGCATAACAAAAGTTATCAAATGAGAATTAATTAAATTAATTTCCACTTCTTTATCAATGCTCTGAACAGTTTGAGTTTGTTGTTGCAAGATTGAATGAGATATATGGTGATGTCGGTGAATAAATGGAAAGTTGTTGAAAAAAAAGGATTTTAAGAAGTATTACAACAGTGACGAATGATGAATTAATTACTTCATGTGTGTTTTCCATGTTGACAGAAGTTATATTGTTAAATAATTGAATGAGATGGAGTTGTTAGATGATGGAATGATCATGGATTGTTGGAAAAAGTATAATTAAATCGCATGTATTATTTTTAAATCGCATGTATTATTTTTTAAGTGAAAAACTCACAAATAAAAAAGTAAAAATAAAAAAAATTGTTTGACAAAGTAAAGAAATGAATGAAGAGAAACAAGTGACCTGACCTGACAAGTAATGTGAAATTCGCTGCTACTTTGACTACCGCTGCTGTTTTTGGTGCGCACAAAGATGAGAACAACTGCAACGAAGGCGTTTAAGAGGAAGCCAGTGACGCCGATAACTGAGTAGACGATTCTATACTCCAAGTTTATCAACACCAATCTGACTGGCTGCAACTCTGTGGTGTTGTTGTCGGGTGAGTTGGTTGTCAGGTTATAATAGCGGTCAATGATGCTTGTAACACTGTTGCTGTTAGTTATGTTGTTAAGGTTGTAAAGATTGCTTAAGTTTGTGAAACTGTTGTTGTTGTTGTTGATGTTAGTTTTGTTGTTGCGGCCATAAAAATCAGTGATGTTAGCGAAACTGTTGTTGTCGCTGTTGGTCATGTTGTGAATGTTGTCAGTGTTGCTCGGCAGAAGATTCGTGGAATTAAACAACGCTGCCATTGCAACAGATTTTGCTAACAGGCCAGTTCGATGCCGGTAGTGTTTGTTAACACTTTATTAATTTTACTTTCATCATTCATTCAAAAAATTTTACTTTTATTGATAAAGATAATTTTTTAAAAATTAATAAACGAAAAAATGTAGGCGCAAACAATTAAATAGAACTGAATTAATTATTAATTTATTAGAAAATTAATTTATTAATGTTTAATGGACATTAATCAGCGTACATTAAACTTGAATAGTGATGGATCGAGAAGATGAAAGAACCAACGCCGTTTGACATTTCTTTTATACAAACAACACACAAACACGCGCAGCTCATGCGTGCAAACCATATTTCCTTGGAAATGTTATGCAGAAAGAATAACCAGACAGACGAGTGTACGAAAAACACTTTAAAACAAAATGCACACAACATACACGGCCACGTGTATGTTGTGCATTTGTATGTTGTGCATTTGTATGTTGTACACGTGTATGTTGTACATACATGCGTGTGTGTGCATGCATGCACAAGTGTGCGCGACAGAAACAAACAAAAGCGCCACTTAATATATGCTGGACGCACTTGCAAGTTGTTTATAATTAAGTTGAGATCCAGGTGAATATCTGTATAGAGTGCGCGAGGACAACAGTACCAATGATTTGTGATTTTTATTACTTTGTTACATAACTACATAGACTTATACTTCAAAACTGTATGTTTAATGTAACAATTGTAACGTAACGATTTTCAAAATTTTAAATATAAAAAAAGAAAAACAAATATTAAATTTAATTAAATGCAGACAAAGTCTTTCAGTCACATAAACTAAACTGGTGACATCTGCTTTTGACGTTTCAATTGTGTCCAAATATTCGCCCACCTCACTTATTAATATTAAGTTACTTTTCCAATACATTTGTCGAACGATAGTCGCTGAGAGTTGAGGTCTAAATTGCAAAGGTACGAAGAAGTTAGTAGACAAATGTTCAATCCTTTCGAAACTTGTGCTACCAATTAATCAATGCCCTTTGGAAAGCGTCGTCGTAGTGTTCAAAAGGCTTTACACAAACCCAGCATATGCATGAGTGCAAATCAATTCGTCATACCCTTTAGCATCATACACTTTTGCTAGAAAGATGAGTGAGGATTCCTGCCCAATCAAACCCTTTTTAGCATTGTAGGGCCAGCCGTTCCGACCTCCACTGCCAAATTTTCTTTCGTCAAATAAAAATTTGGAAAATCGTGTCAGAATTTCAGAAAGCCACAACAATTTTTTCAGCATTCTTGAAAAGATTTTAATGTATACAAATCTAACATTATTGGCAATCAGTTATGCTATTTTTATTGAGAATTTTTTGATATTGAACAATAATGAATTGACATGAAGTTAGACGTGTTGGCTACATTATTTCATTATCAAAAGCACACCGCCTCAGTAATTAATGAAAATATTTGACATTGAATAAGTTAATGCAGTTGGTAATATAACTGACAGAAATTCAACAGAGAGGAACACCACTACTAAGGTTCAACCGCACGATCCAGCCATCTGAACCAGACTTGAGCCAAGCAAGCCACGTTTGACAACCAATTAACACGTAGAGGCTAACAATGTAGGGGAAACATGGAATCGTTGTGGTCCTCTCATGGAGTTATGACGATGAATGTTTGAATATTTTTAAAAGTTAAACAGGGTAATAGATGTACAAAATTATTCAAGGTTTTCAATCACAATTATTAATAAATAAAAAATATTACGAATTATTAATTATACAAAAAATATATACACATGTTCACATATCGTGCTTGGATAAAGAATGGATAAATAAACACATGAACATACACGGAACATTGTGTTGGAATAAAGTTAAGTGAATGTAAAAAATTTAATAAAAACACAAACACATCATTGTACATTTTTATGTGCATCTATAAATTTTAGTTTGCATGTGTGTGCAAATAAAAAAATGAAGAAGATGAATTCAGTATTCAAATGTTGCTTTAGTTTATCATCGATCGATTGACCGTTTAACTACACATATTAATTAATTCACTGGTAGTTAGTTTTTGCCACCGTCATATGATCTCACTTGAGAACTTACCAATTAGCCCGACTTTAACATTTTCAGTGAACTCCTCAGTTTTTTGTAAATTTTTTTCATTCTCTGCTGAAACGGTTCATAATTTAGGCAGTAGACAATAGGGTTGAAAACGCAGTTAGTACAGGCCAGTGTCACTGAAACCTGGTAGACTCTTGTTGATATGCTTATCTGACCAGCGCTCAGTTGATAGAACAAGAAATATATTTGATTCATTGAGAAGCTTATTAAGAAGGAAACGAAGAGCGTAATTGAAGTTTTCATTATGCAATTCTTAACGACTTTAACGGCGTTGTCCTTTGAAGATTCAATTTTCTTACTCGTACAGCGGCGTCTAGACACAGTTGTTGCGGTTACTGTGGTTCTCGTTGAAGTAACAGTTTTCTTCTTCCGTTTCTGTTTATTTGTTGTTTTGTGTTTTGGTACTTGAAGGTGAGTATGAATGTTTATTCTATTTATTCTTTTAAACTTATCTTCACAGAAACTCTCACTACTGCTGTCTGGGCCGGTGTAGCCTTCGTATTTCTTCTCATAATTTTCATCCTTCTTCTCAGTTGTTTCAACTGTAAATATGTTGGAACTCTTGACAACGCTGTTGATTGGAGGCGATGGATAGATCTTCACCTGGAGTTTCCTGGCCAGCCTGAAGTACAAAATGATGTTCAGACCTAGTGGAATGAAGTAATCAGTTACCAAGGTGATGATGGCAAAACTTGTTTTCCCCTCCGCTGACAAGTATTCGCTGTAGACGAAGCATTCACCTGGTTCAATGATTGTTTAATTTAAAAGGAAAAATTGTTTTAAAGTTGAATATTCAACATATTAAACAATAATTTTAAATTTACTATTGATATGTTTGGAAAGTAAAACATTTCAGTTGAATGAAACAAAAAGATGGAAGTTTATCTCATTTGTTAGTTTTATAAATTTTCGTTCACAATAATTGGATCTTTTATTCTAACAAATCAATCAGTTAATTAATTCTTCACTAGCACAAAATGTTTATGACATCCTTATATAGAAACTCATATTTTTTTAATTAATCCACACTAGTTAGCTATAAAAAAAACTGCGAATACTTTGATTAAATCGACAACAGAGCAAGTGAACAACTTTTGGGCAGGGCGAATGATAGCAAACGTGCATGAGTTTCTCAACATAATCAAAAATAAAATAAAATAATCAAACATAATCTCAACATCAGCAGCAGCCAGCCAGCGTCAACATTGCTCACCATTTGGCATGATGCCTGAAGTTAGACAGGCGTACGTGAGTTTATAAATTATTCCAAGCATCCAGACAAGAACGAGTGTTATAATGGAGTACTTGGTAGAGTTCGCCAGATGTGCCTTATGAAAGAGCGGGTGCATGATGGCGATGTACCTTTCCACATTCAGCACCATGACTGAACATATGGAGTTCGTGATGGCGGTCCAGAGCAGGATCTTGCTGTACCACAGCTTGCACAGAAGTTCCTGGCCCATGTCTCCTGGAATGTATCTCACACCATGGTCATCTTCGACAAGGGAGCTGACCAGTAACAAGAGAGCCACCACGGCGTCCACACACGTCTGCAGTGGTCGCGATTGCAACGTTTGTATGAGGTTTGATGGTTTATTGTCTTATCGGTCATTTTGGTGGCAATTATTTTGTGGGAAGAATGATTTAAAAAAAGGTTGCTTATGTGATTAGCTTGAATGTTTATTCAAAAAATAAACAATCACATTTTGAATAATCTATATAAGACAATTTATTTTAAAAAATAAACACGTATGTTTTACTTGACAAGTGACGTGGAATGAACTGCTTTTATTGTGGAAAGCGAGCATAAACTTGTTGGGCTGCTCAACGAATGTCAGGACGATGAAAATGAAGGAATTGAGGAAAAACCCAGTGAGACCGAGAATGACATAGAGGATGACAAATTCTTCAGAGGTCACTATCTTGTTGACCGATGACAGGGGATATTCAGTTGTGATGTCGTCTGTAATGTTTTTCGTGCGGTTTTCACTCTTTTTGATGTCTTGGTTAATGTCTGAGTTGATTTTGATTATGCTTTGATTCGTGCTGCTGTTGCTGTTGTTGTTATTGTTTTTGTCGTTTATACAGTCACAGTCATCGAAAATGTTGGTCAGATTTTTATAAAAAGTTGGTTGTTGTTGAGTTATGGATTTGTTTAAATATCCATTAATAATTTTGAAAAATCGAGATTTAAAATATTTGCTTGGAGTGAGTGAATTGTTTTCAAACGAGGTGGAATGGTTGAAATTTGTGGCATTGACATCGGCGGTGTTGAACGAGCTGTTGACAGCTGTGTGCTGCTGCTGGTCATTTTCTGATGTTACATTGCTGCTGAACAATAAAACGAAGTTCAACAAAGTTGATGTTGTTGTTGGAGTTGATGATAATGATGTTAATGTTGTTGTTGTTGTTGTTGGAGTTGATGATAATGATGTTAATGTTGTTGTTGTTGGAGTCGATGATAATGATGTTAATGTTGTTGCTGGTGGAGTTGATGATAATGATATTGATGTTTGTGAGGCTAAAATAGTTGTGAAAATGAAGAATTCTCTATAGGTATTCATTATGTTGTTTTATTACTTTTGAAAAATATTCTTCGGTGACTTGATGGTAGTCAAATATTTTATGTAATTTTTTTCCAATACTTTCATTTTGTGTAATTATCTGATTTTATGTTGCAGTTTAATTTTCAATTCTACAATTTATTTTCACTTATCATTATTTTCTACTGTTTTAGCATAATATTTTTGAGAAAAATTTAAAAAAAAAAAAAATTTGAAGGAAACATTCTATCTCACTTTAGGAGAACATTTTCATCTGAAGTGCCTTCAATTTGTAACAGAAGATAGAACTTTATGTAACATATATAAAAACTGCATATATTAGTAGGTTTGCGAAGGTGTAGAGATTAATTTCAACAAATCATCAAACAGAACAATGAAATCAGAATAGGATGAATATAAATTATTTTGTCTAATATATTAATGATTTCCCCACAAAGAAATGAGTTATCTCCTGCCATTGTTTTATTCTACATTGTCTTCCAGTGTTATTTTGCTAATTGCAAAGTTTTCAAAAGAGAATAATAGTTCATATTCATACATTATTTATAACTGTACTGTGTCACATGTAAAACATCAGTAAAACTGTACTGTACCACATGTAAAACATCAGTAAAACTGTACTGTACCACATGTAAAACATCAGTAAAACTGTATTGTACCACATGTAAAACATCAGTAAAACTGTACTGTACCACATGTAAAACATCAGTAAAACTGTACTGTACCACATGTAAAACATCAGTAAAACTGTACTGTACCACATGTAAAACATCAGTAAAACTGTACTGTACCACATGTAAAACATCAGTAAAACTGTACTGTACCACATGTAAAACATCAGTAAAACTGTACTGTGCCACATGTAAAACATCAGTAAAACTGTACTGTGCCACATGTAAAACATCAGTAAAACTGTACTGTGCCACATGTAAAACATCAGTAAAACTGTACTGTACCACATGTAAAACATCAGTAAAACTGTACTGTACCACATGTAAAACATCAGTAAAACTGTACTGTACCACATGTAAAACATCAGTAAAACTGTACTGTACCACATGTAAAACATCAGTAAAACTGTACTGTACCACATGTAAAACATCAGTAAAACTGTACTGTACCACATGTAAAACATCAGTAAAACTGTACTGTGCCACATGTAAAACATCAGTAAAACTGTACTGTGCCACATGTAAAACATCAGTAAAACTGTACTGTGCCACATGTAAAACATCAGTAAAACTGTACTGTGCCACATGTAAAACATCAGTAAAACTGTACTGTGCCACATGTAAAACATCAGTAAAACTGTACTGTATTACTAGTACAACAACAGCAAGCTACTTTACTTTCAATTGTACTGTGCTACTATGCAAAAACCGCCTACAACATCATCATCGCGACATCATCGTCCACAATTAATCAACCATTTCATTTCAGTCGCCTTAAGAATTAACTTTTATTTTCACCAGTTGAATGTTAAATTTTTCCAACTGTTGTTTTTAACAACGAATTTGTCTAAAAGACTATTTTATTTTGGAAGAGGTCATTTTTTGCATGAATAAAAAAATAAAAACGGTTGCTAATGCTGCTGCTACTGCTACTACTGCTAATGCTGCTGCTACTGCTACTACTGCTACTACTGCTGCTACTGCTACTACTGCTACTACTGCTGCTACTGCTACTACTGCTACTACTGCTACTACTGCTGCTACTGCTACTACTGCTGCTACTGCTGCTACTGCTACTACTGCTGCTACTGCTACTACTGCTGCTACTGCTACTACTGCTGCTACTGCTACTACTGCTGCTACTGCTACTACTGCTACTACTGCTACTACTGCTGCTACTGCTACTACTGCTACTACTGCTACTACTGCTGCTACTGCTACTACTGCTACTACTGCTACTACTGCTGCTACTGCTACTACTGCTACTACTGCTACTACTACTGCTACTACAACTACAGCTGATGTTACAAACGTTAATTCTACTAATGTTACTGCCACTACCACCATTACTATAATTTTTTTTAAAAGACAAACATAGACAATAATATCGTCGCTAATTAATAAATGAACAGAAGAGTTGTGATTTGAACTGATGATGATTGGTTGCAGGGGCATCGCTAATGATTAATCTCAGAGGCACACAATGAAATATATAGCAATACGGAAAGGAACGAAAATATGCTAACAAAATAATCATGACTAGAGAAGCATTATAAATTTTAAACTATGACATTTTTAAATAAAAACAAAAACATATAAAGAATGAATCCCTTGATTTTAAAACTTCTTCCTTGATTAATGACCAAACATATTTTATATTCACAGTTTTCGCATCGTGTTATAGTGTTATATATGTTACGGTATATAGTTATTAAACATTTTATAACATTCATGCAACTTTTTTAAAATTAAACCATGGGACGAGATGGTGGTGTAGTGGTTAAGGCACCTGGTCCTGCTGTTGGCGTGACCCGGTTCGAACAATGTGCGTGAGGTGTGGATTCATGCGTATTCACGTGCGTTGTGACTGTGCGTGCGTGCGTGTGTGTGCGTGCGTGTTGTACGCATTTTAGAAATAATTAAGAAAATCTTTGATAAATACAAAATGCTTCCACTATAATAGCTAAATGGATTGATGGTACATGGATATTACACATCAATTAGAGAACACCTCTTGGTCCAGAAAAATAATAAATTGTATTACTATTAATAATAACTATAGAAATAATTAAAGTTTTTGCTATTTTATTTTATATTATTACTAACATTTCAGTTCAGTATGAATATTTAGGCGATTTATCATCACACGTGCATTAGAAATGTTTTGGCATTTGTAATATAAAGTTCATGAGTTGGTGTCGAGAGGAAAGCATATTTGAAACAAGTCCATTACAATTTTTTTCGAATCAATTTGTCTAATGGTTGAAAATTATTTAAAAAAAATTACTTACTATAAATGAACGTCATCTCGAAAGAACCATTTTGGTTCATGTTCTTACCATACAAACTGCGCGCTAAAGTTTAATAAAAAAAAAATGTCGTACAGCGCGACGATGAATGGCGTTGAAAGTTTTTAATGCAAACATCTGACTCTCTGATGTTTGCAAGTTCTTTCTCTTTCCTAGACGGATGGCATTTTGAGTTAACTGTTGAATATTCCTCCTATGGACCGGCTATTTTTAAAATTGGATGCAATAAATGTTAAAAATACGTGTGTAAATTTAAAATTATCTTATCAAATGACACTATCATGTGTGTGCGTACCTGTGTGCGTACGTTTGTGTGTGAGTGTATATGTACACGTGTGTATGTGTGTTTGTTTGTTTGTGTTTGTGTGTGTGTGTGTGTGTGTGTGCAATAGAGAAGCCATGAAAATTGAATGCACTTATGAGAAGTTGCGTTCGTGGGTACCGCTCTAGAAATTTTCAAATTCTTATCAGCATAAAATTTAAAAATATCTCAAGAGCAAAACTTGCATGGTCTATGAAGAAAGATTAAACTGATGTTGAAGCAACAACAACAATAACATCAACAATAACATCAACAACATCAACAACACCAGCATCATCATCAACAACATCAACAGCAACATCTACTACAAATACAACAACAATCACAACATCAATAACAACAGCATCGGTAACAACATCGACAATTATTACGACAAAAATAGTCACAACAACAATAACAACAACAGCAGCAACATCAACAACAACATCGACAACAAAACCAAAAATAACGTTGACCACAACAATCACAACAGCAACATTTACAACATCAACAGCCACTCAACAGCCACTCAACAGCCCATAGACCACGTAATAATAATTAATGGAAGAAAAACCATCAAGCAATCATTAAAATAATGTCTCCAGTGCATTGCAATCAAACCAAAGTTGATTTTTTGTTAGGATTTTTTAAAATGATCTGAACTTGCATGAAATAGAAGGCTTTTTACAAAAATTTTTGTCGTCATCCTGATGTAATTCGAGTTTTCTGGGTGTCAGCTCAAATCCACCAGTTTTACATTCAAAGCTTTCCATCAGAGGTACTACACTATATTATTGTTATCTCCGGTTTGCCGGGCAGCTGTTTTTTGTTATAACAAGTGATGCTTTCTGAATAATAATTTCTAATTTCAAAAATGTGTTGTTTGTTTTTTGTGTTTTTTTGTTCGTTCATTTGTTTGTTGACTTGTTTGTTTGTATATTTGTATATTTGTACATTTGTTGGTTTGTTTTTATTATGTTGGTTTGTTTGTTTGGTGGTTTTTTTTTGTTTTACATGATTTTTATTCATTTTTTTAAAGATTTTTCAACCTGTCAACATTTGGTTCTTGCAGTTTATTTTTATGAAATTCTGGCTGTTGGTTATTATTAATTCATTTGTTTTTCTTTTTATAAATAATTTTGTTTAATTAGAAGACTTTTGAAATCTTGACAGTATTTTGATTGCATCTTCATGATGGTAAAAGTGTGCGGGCATGACTGACAAACGATGCAGTGCGGTTGTTCTCAGAGTGTAGGACATGGAGTGGGAGATTTTTGCCGATTTTTTTGTCCCAATTTTATGAGGGACCAAAGTTGGAGTCGAATACTTTTCATCCGACTCCAATACTCTGGTTGTACTTTCCAAATGTTCCTCACAACAACACTGCTTCCTCCAACCAGGCATGGATCTTTTGTCTGATGCGGTCTGCGTGTAAACTGAAGTTTTCAATTCATCGTTATTGCTGCGCCGTACAAGAACATCTAGAAAATTAACTCGTCCAATTTTTGTACAGTAAATCTCTATTTTGACTTATTGAATTAATTCAAGTTCGTTTTTTGATAGTTTTAAAATTATCATAAACAATGATAATATTATCGACGTATCGTATCTGCAGCATACAACAACATAGAGTTACGGTTTAGTATTGAATAATTTTTACAACCACAATTCTTATATTTCATGTTTTACACTCTGCACGCTGTTACATAAATAGCGTTTGGCAGTGTGATTTACAAAATAAAACAAAGTTGTCATTAATCTAGGCGACCAAACTTGCAATCAGCACATCATTCCGTCTGTGTAGCGGCCAGACTGTGGAATGGCGCCTCTAATGTGCAAGTTCTTAATGGTTTTATTTCTCCAGTTGCTTATCTGCATTCAAACTGGCAGGGCGTCATTTTGAAGATATGAATGTCATTTAAAATTTGTTCGTTATCTTCATTCAAATGGTACGTTAGTGGGTAGGCACAAAGCCTGTATTGACGAAAAGTTATTCTTGTATTAAATGTGTGTTTGCACATATAATTTATTCATAATTATATGTATTTATTCATTTATTTATGATTCTATTTATTTATTTGTATATATATTGATTTGCTTGTTCAGTTTGGGGCCAATAAATCAATCATTAAGGTCTGTGTTATTAATTAATCGTGTTTGCCATCGTATTGTAAATTTTGCCTGAAATAAGTGGCCTAATCTCTTTTTCTTGCATTTTCTATAACCATATTGTTCTTCTTCTTCTTCTTCTTACCACTGCTTTTACTTCTACTTCTACTACTACTACTACTTCTACTACTACTTCTACTTCTACTACTACTACTACTACTACTACTACTGCTGCTGCTGCTGCTGCCGCTACTACTACTGCTACTACTACTATTAAATATAAACGTTATCAAAATTATTATAAACTTTGTAATTGTTGTCTTTTTTCAGTTTTTTATTACATCAATTGAACTTGCTACCAAATCATTCTGCATATTTTTTCTTTTCTTTCCACAGGAAGGATGTCTGTTTTTTAGGTTCAACATTTTTGTAAAAACCCACATGCCTGACACCTGCCGTTAAAAAATAAAATTATCTGTATTTTAATGTAAGCCTATGTATATTTTATATATCCATGTGTAAGCCATGCGTTTAAAGTGAATGAATAAATGTTGGAGTTAATGAATGAATGAATGAACGAACGAAAAAGCAATGAATGAAATGTGAGTTGAAAGGTCATCTGGTTCGGCACAGGAAAAGGAAACGGGTACATGCCACGTGGAGACACACACCAACTCGCCTCACCGACCACGGAAACATTATCCACCAAAGGTTGAAATACATTTCAAAAATAATTTTTCGTTTCGTTAACTGAGTAAGGAGGTTTATTTATAACAATATTACATTTCTAATTAATCTTTCAATCGAAATATCTCAAAAGTTCAGAAAGTTAATGAGGGGCGATGTAGGTGCAGAAATATGTTGGGCCACTACAATGCATCTCATACTCACGCAATCAGTCCCTCACGCGCAGATATTATTTTGAAGCATTGAAAATTCTTTAATGATGGCAGTTTTCAAACAATACCTTGCACGAGAGTCCACTGTTTTTTAGTATTTTTCTTATTGTAATCACATCTCATTCCATTAAATTTTAAGTACATTTTCTCGTAAACAAATTTTAAAAAAAAATTCGCGTGAAATATCAGTTGTATTGTAATGGGCCGCCATCCATTCATCACTGCACAGGTCCATTCGTCTGCTTAATTGGCATGTCGTGTAAGAATTTCGTTCTGAAAACTTCAAACTATTTCTCTATTTTGCAGTGTTTTATTAATTAATTAATTAAAGTTCTTGAAAATGAGGTCTGCACTCTGCAGGCTTTAATTTTTTGCTTTTGAAGATAACAAATTTTCATCATATTTATTTTGTTTGTTGCGGTATGGAGTTTAATTTTTTTTATCATTTAAATCGCAGCATTGAAGAATATTAATTGGAAAGAATTGTTCCAAATTAAATAATTAGCTCCAAAAAATTGAAAATAATTGTCCCTTTAAAATAACCAATTACATGAATTATTCTGCCTGTAAAAGGGGGAGTATCAACAGAAAAAATGTAACAAAAAAAACAAAGTGGTCGATGCATCGTGTTGGCGCGGGTTTAAAATTGTGTTTGACGATTCTTCTACCTTCTGTTTTCAATGTTTCTAATGTTTATCTCAGAACAAGGAAACAACAATTATCTGATGGTTATCGGTTGCATAAGTTGATACACTGAGTGCAACATCGGGGAACAAAATTTTTATTATGATTGAGGGAGCAATGTAGAAGAATATGGAAGACCATTGCACGTGTGCTATTTCACCGCGCACGACAGCAGCACGTAAGCGTCACATGAATCATGATAATTGAAAACCAATTTCAACTTGTCGGCAATAAATCTAGTAGCAGTACGGAGTTTATTATTTTAAAACATATTAAAAACAATTTACTTCCGATTAATCCTCTTCCAGCATATTAATTTCAAATTTGTCTTCCTCTATTTTAACAGTACGGATTCATCAGGTATTTAGAGGTTAACATTTCGGCATACTAGTTTTCAATTTCTGACGAACATTTAATTTGCTGATTGGGAAAAGCCTAGCTAAACATAACATGATATAAAAGAAAATTTAAATAAATGCGACCAAATCAGCATGCAACAAATACATGTTCGTAATTTAGTCATTATCCTCTCCCAAGTCATATTTAGTGAGTGTAAGAATTGAACATTCTCATTAAACATTTTGACATGGCAAGAGGGAAGCGAGTGAGGGCTTCACCGAGAAGTCTCAGCGCGTGAGTCCAAGTCATCTGGTCGCAAGTAAGAAGCAAAAAAAAATTTTTTCAGCACTTGACAGATAATGAAACTATTACAATTAAGGAATTTTCATTGAATAAAATCAAAAATTTTTAAATTACACAGATAATGATGATTTAAAATAGTTTTAAACTGTTCAATGCCACGTGAATATTTAACAAAATCGACGATATAGAAATTAATAAATAGCTTTTGAACGATTGTGTCAACAAAAACACATCCCCGAGTTCATTTCCGCTAATTTCTGATACTTTTTGTCAGACAACCGTTGCAGTTCAGATCCACTCCACTCTACCATCTACCCATCCTTTTTTTAAGTTATTCTTTAAAAACGAAATTGAATTAATGATAAAAGTTTATCGGGTGCTAATTTATTTAAGGTGTCTTCTAATGAAGGTCCTTCGTGTACCATCCTTCTTTTTTGTCACCGCCTTCCATTATCAACCACTGAAGTCTGTAATTTTTTAGCAATTCGTTAACTTACTCAAATAAGCTTTGTATTAGTAATATTTATCCAGGCTTGAATGAAGTTGGTGATGATAATGACTTAATAACAAATAGACGATCGCTGTATTCAACTGTTTCTTCATTTGAACGTGCTTCAGAGACGAATCTGATCTGTCACCTCGTTGCCGACATGAAGTCGTGCAGGTCGTGAAATGAGCAGATTCGCAAAAACAAAACATTTTTGAGATTTTTAACTCAACAACCTGCGCCGTTGTAGTCATCTATCGAATGCTTCAAGTGTACTGTACAAGTACTATTTATAAACACAACTTGTCCCTTCGTCGTCTCAATCGACAGATTGGTCTAATCTATAGGCCACACGTATATATGTATGCGCGTAATGTGGTTGCATGTATTTAGAATGAGTATATAAATGCTCATCACTCACCGTGTGTCTAAGGATCATGTCAACATTTATTTCGTATTTATTTTTATGATGAACGTATGCTGATGCTGTGTAAGTTTGTTCATCCATTCAGAGGTTCATGTTTCAACGATGTGGAAACTATTCAAAATACATTTATTATTCTTTGAAAAAAATTGTTAAGTCGGTTTTTAGGATTGTTTTTGACGGATAAAATATAATCGAGTCAGGTTTAAATAAATTGTAATAAAAACTTGTACTCCTGGATATGTAAATTTTAAATAGGTAACTTGAAGACGTCGCAATGAACATCTCAAATAATTTCTCGTACAACTCAACAGACTTCTATTTTACCAACACAAACAACAGCAACCTCACATCCAATCTGACTTCGCAAAATGCAACAAACGACATAACCGCCATCGCTTTGAGAGCATCTCAAAACTTCAAAATCATCAACACCTTAGTCGGAATTTTTGGATTTCTCCTAAACGGTTTTGTTGTGATTGCATTGCTATTCGGTGGCAAGAAGAATAAAGGGAGTGCCTCAAATCAACTCAGCAGCAGTAACTTCCACGTCTGTTGCCAGGTTCATTAACTCTGCTATGTTTACCAATATGTGATCAATTCAAAATTTGAATATAAATAACACTAACTTATTATGAAACTGTTTTAACTTTAAAAAAATTGATATTTTAAACATTTTATTCGGGTCGTTGATATTTAATTCATTTAATTTTGACATGAGATTTAATAGACTTTATCGATTGAGTGATTAAAATTAATTTCAAATTTTGAAATTAGGATTTGTGTTTTACATAACTCTAAACTTAACATCACAACAGTCAGCGGTGGATTCATTTGTGGGACTGGTCCTCTTCTTTACTACGATCTTCGAGGACGATGGTCAGCCGCGCTACAGCAGCGCCAACTTCGGACATCAAATCTTGTGTCGTTTCTGGCTAAGCAAGTGTTTCCTTTGGGCGGGATTCTCCTGTTCAACTTACTGCGTCCTATCTTTGAATTTTGAGAGATATGTAGCGATTGTCCATCCGATATTTCACAGAACCAAATTTTCAAGGAATCGAATCTATTCGATACTTTCTCTCTCGGTGGCGTTTTTAATTGGTGGCGGGTTCATGTTTTGTTACATTCCGGCAGCTGCAACCGTCCTGCCCGACGGTCGATGCACCACTTACTCCGTATTCCCGAGCGAATTCGCAAGACAATTTATGGGTTTCATGACATTTTTTGTGGAGTTTTTCACGCCCCTGATAGTCATAATTGTATTCTACACACGGATGGTGTTGGTGCTCCACAGGAGGGTTGCACCGAAGCACGATGCAGACGAGAAGGAAGCTGACGATGAACAAGTGATAGACAATAAAGAAACAAATGCGGAAAAAACTACAAATATGAAAAGCAACCATGACGAACAAATTTCAAACAATAACGAATCAAGGTCAAAAATCGCAATTATTTCAAGTCCGAATCAGTTGATGGATCAAACAAAACAAAAACACAATTCAGAAATCAACAAAAAGCCAAAAAAAGACAAACCTAAATCAAGCATGGAACGGGCTAGAGATAGTGTGTTCAAAACATCGGCCCTAATTTCGTTGTCCTTCGTTGTTTGTTGGTCGTGGAACCAAATCTACTACTTCATGTTCCAGTTGGGAGTTCCTGGCTGCAACCTCACCGGACCATTTTATGACTTCACCGTCTTCATGATATTTGTCAACTGCATCGCTTATCCCATTATTTTTTTGGTGAAATATGAACCAGTACAGAAAAATGTTAAACATTTGTTGAGCGAGATAAAACAAAAGTTATTGAAAAGTAAATAAATTGTTTGAAATAACAATTTATTAGTTTTTTTTTATCAGCACGTGTCAAATTATGAAGAAACTTTTTCTATGAAAAATTTTCACACAATAAACACAATACATGATTATAAATATTGCTAACCCATCCAATTTCAAATACCTGAGTGATGGAGATTATGTTTATGAAATTTTTCATTGTACTTAAAAATTGAAATTTAGACAGTGTGTTTTTGTGTTGTCTTCCATGAATAAAATCATCAGGGCCGACTGCCAGCCATAGTTTGCTTCCATCTAATTACTGTTAAATGAAATCAATCAAACCGTTAATGTTGACTGGCTATCAAAACTGTTGTTTTGCGATGATAGATTTGTAAAAATTAAATCAATCAAACAATCAATTAAATCAATTAAATTAAATCAATCAATCATGTTAAATCAATCAAACCGTTAATTAAATCAATTAAATTAAATCAATCAATCATGTTAAATCAATCAAACCGTTAATGTTGACTGGCTATCAAAACTGTTGTTTTGCGATGATAGATTTGTAAAAATATATGGATGGTATGAAGCTATTTTATATGAATTGCATCAAATTTGAAATTTACTTGATTTAAAATTTACTTGATTGATTTAAACTTACTTGATTTGAAATTATGAGAAACATTGTTTTTCCTTTTAAAAAATATTTTTTTTTTCAAAATTTTGAGTTTTTTGATAATTTTTTCTTTGGCTTCGGCCGAATAATGAATCAACTATTTGGTTGGTCGGCCTTTGTCCAAACTCACTCTTTGGGCATCTTTAAACAACAGATGAAATGGAGTAACTACATTGCATGGAACGACGTTTAATTGTTTCCAACAGGCATGAAGCCCTTCAATTATACGAAATGGCCGACCATCGTTCCAATATTCATTGTGAATTTTCAGCTAATGTGGAATTTCGCAAATTTATTAGCTTGCCAAGATAGAAGACAACTATTTAAATATTATACCATGTAGTTTTTTAAACAGAAATATGGAAAGATGAAGTCACGTTTCTAATTGACTTGAGCAGCAAGACAAATTAAATCAACGATCATGATGTTATAGACCACAGCTCAATAAATTTTTTTATATTTTTTTTATATACTTGAATAAAACTTAATCAGAGGAAGGCTGCCTTACGTGCTTTTGAGTTCTTCCAACCTTTAAATATTAATGGTTTGCACTGTGAATTAACATCAGGCAATATCAGAAGAGTAATGCCAGAAAATCTGTTGAAATCTTCTACTTAAAATATGACTTTTATGGTGCAATAGTTACACGAAGCAATTAATTTCATAATTCCTTTACTTACCTCATTTATTTTCATGTACGCACGTGCATTTTTAGCATTTCCTTTCTTAAACGTTCCATGTCTCCGGCCTTTACTTGAAGACTCGCTATCCAGACATCTTTTGTTTTTCAAGTTTTCATTTTAATTAGTAAGAAAAAATATAGAATTACATTTTTGAACTAATCACTGTATGAACATCGCTTATATTTGCTAAGATAATGATTAAACATAGATGCATGAAGATTGGTGTGACGTAACAAACATGTACAACATTTATTGCACAGCGCAACACGTATATGCATAGGTTTCTCTAAACTTTTATAACAAATTTAAATAAGCTATATGTAACAGTGAATGATATAACTGTTTCTAATTTTAAATAATGTATTCATTAAACTTATGTGGCAATTTCAGTGGAATTGAAATTTTGGTAAAATTGTAGCTTCCTAATTTAATTTAATCCCCATTGTTGAGTTTCTCTTCCAACAAAATGAACCTTAATTAACGCTCTAGTTATTTTTGGCCATAAAGCTGTTTGAGTTTTTTTCTTGTTGATTTCGTGTTTTTTTTCGTATCTCTTAATTTAATGAAAAAGTTTGTCGAAATGGTCAAAATAATAAAGAAAGAGAAAATTGAATGATTTCATTTATATTTAGAACGGAAATTTTCAGTAGAGGTTAAAGTTTAAAAGTTTAGATTAAAAGTTAAAATAGAGGTCATAACTGAGATTGTCCTTTCATGAAAGGTAGGAATTAAAAAGTTCATTCATTAGTTCCTATTTGAAAAAATGTCTCCCACTGAAACATGAATGTCAGCTATTCAGGACGAAGTAAAATTTGAAATGATTATTTTCACCTAAATTTAATGTTTCATAGCAGTTGTTGAAAATAAAATGTTTTTTTTTTCGAATAATATGTTTTTTTTCAATAAAAATATTTTTTGGATAAAAATGTTTTTTCGATAAAATGGTTCATTCGACACAACCAAGAAAGCAACTGAATAGTCCTTTGTTTACAAATTTTCAGCACAACGTATTACGAAAATGTTTTTGATGTAACGTTCCTTGCGATTGATCATGCTGGAGTGTGAAGATGAAAGAGGAGAGGAACATGTTGTGCCCTACAATCTGGTCTGTAGTGAGGCAGGATATTAATTTTGAATGAGGTTCTGTCATTTTTGTTGCTGCTGTTGCTGTTGGATTGTTCATTTTTACTAGTTTTTTAATTTTTGCTCAAATGTGTTTTGAAAATAGAAAACCCTCTCGGTGACGAATGAAAAAAAGATGTATCACTCAAAAAATAAACAAAACTGTTTCAGACTATAATTCTAAAAAGTTTTATTCACGCTTTGATTTTTTTCAATTTACCGTTGAGTAGCGTTTTGAGATCTCATCTTCAACATTTATTAGGTTGCTGATTTTTAAAAAAATGAATGGACTGTTTTTTGCAAAAAAACAAATTCGGCTGAACAAACTATTTTTCTTCTTTTTTTTTACCATCTGATTGAATTAAATCAGTAGTGGCTTCTATGTACGTACATGTACAGTGCACACAAACCATGGCACGAACGAAAAAAACTTGACACTCTATCCAGATTAAGACGTTGACAGAATTTGCAACATTTGAGTTTTTTTTTATATTGTTAAATTCAAATTGTCTATATTTTATATATGCTGAATCAATATTCAATTTAACAGCAATGTTCATAAAATTAAGTACCTAGTAATCATATTTTATGTCCTTCATCAGACGTCTGACATTTTTCTGCACCGGATCATATTTCACTTGTATTTCTGCATGTTAAAAAACTTTTAGAAATGTTAAAATTTTAAAATAAAATATTTTTTTCAATGAAATAATTTAAATCGTAAAATAAAAAGAAATATCAAAATTTCAAATTGAAAATTCAAAAGCAAAATAATTTCAAATATTTTAACTTTTTGAAATATTTTAACTAGAAATAATTTAATAAAAATTGAACAGTAAATATCCTAAAGCATTTAAAAACTTCACGAAAACATAAAACTTAAAAAAATATATAATTACCGGTCTCTATACGCTCAAACAAAATCATCAGCCATCATGTTTAGTTAAACTCGTGCTCGTGTCAGATAATGTTATGCCATGCAAACCAATCCTGTGTCTACATTGTCGCAATTGCTACATAGGCTTTGACATTATTATGCTTTTTCATTCTCAAACATCAATGTTTTCATCATCATCACACTATCCTCATCATCTTCATCATCCATCCGCCACTTTAAATGTCGTCACCATTCTCATCACCATCATCATTCCCAAAATCATTTCTTCTTGAGAAGAGGTGCTCCTTTAATGGGAGATGAAGCGGCGGTGCTCAGTAGCTTGATGTTCCTCTGCATGAAGTTGATGTGTGGAGGGCAGGTTCGATCCCTCTGGAGACCCACGTACGTGATGGGGGGTGGAGATGAGGTGGCCATCGTTGGTGGCTTATACTCTGGCTCGTGTCCTCGAATTTCATACACCCAGTAGTAATCACTGGTCTGAAATTATTAAATTGAAAGTATAAAATTTGTGATTACGTATTTTTAAAAAGTTCGTTATAATTCGACAACAAGAATTCACTTGCTCAATGTTTTCATTCTATTAAAACAAAAAATTAGATTAAATCAAGTTTTAAAAATATTAATACTTAATTTATATTTTTTCAAGTAATAGTTACACACGTAGCAGATTGAAGAATTTTGTAATGTAAAATATTATTTGATCAAACTGACTGGCTGACTGACTGACTTCAAAAGACGTCAATCACCCACCAATGAAAATTTAACTGACCTTGACCACGATCTTCGCCTTGAAGATCCTCCCATAACTCAGAGGCTTGAAAACAACGGTGAAGATGGTTCCAACACAAGCTCCTGAAACTAGTGTGCCGGACTGTGGAAAGTAGGTAAAGGAAGGATCGCTGTCCCGTGTCATGTAACTTGTGAACTCATTCGATGAGCTTTATTGACGCGGTGAATTATTTCATCATTTCATTTAGAAACTTTAGAAGAATATTATTTTTATAAATATACTAAACAAAACAATCTTAATGCATATATCAATAACTTGAAGCGTTATTTACAAAGAAAGAGTGCAACCGTCATTCAAACTGACAACAGTTAACCTACTAGAGATAAAGCCACTGCTCACCAAACACATCTAATGCAATTCTCCAACCACAATCAGTCGCGATCATTGAAATCATAAGAACAAGTGCACAACAAAAAGCAAGATCATTCATTACACGAACCCTTCAGGACAGCTAACAACAAACACTCCTCTACTCTCCTTGTTCAGTCCCTCCGCTTTTATGTCGATGATTTGGGTTGGCGCTCCCTCTTCTGCTATGAAAAGCATTCTATATTTCCACGTTCCACCAAACTTGTTCGTTACGGAAAGATCAGCTTTTTGTCTTTTAAAACATTTTAAGTTAGTTTCAAAATTTTTTTAACAATTAATGAAGATTATTGAAAAAAAATCATTTTTTTAGGCAAACAAAAAACAGAAGATCACTGACCTAATACTCATACGAGGATTAAATGTGATCTTGAACTTGAGTGTTGTGATCTCTCCGACCTTGTGAAGGTCAGATATGCTGATGCTCACCCAACGAAGCAGTTCATACGTCAATGCGTTCTCTACTGCTGCGTCTGCCACGTGACCAGGTGCAGACGCGTACGA